TGACTTCTAGTTTAAGCAGTAATTGCATTAAATAATCATATGGTACTTTATTGTAGGCATCTTCTAAGTCCAACACTGCCGCACATGTCTCTTCTTTAATCTGAAATCCCTCGTACACATCGTAGGCGAAAACAGCAGCATTGGACCATGTCTCTTTCTTCAATCTGTACCCTCCAAGTGTTGATGGGAACTTATCATGTAGTTCCAAGTAGGTGGTCAATCTTTGTGCGACAATTTTTTCCAAAAGTTTGCCAACAGTATTCTGCATCGAGATGATTCTGTAGCCGCAGATCTTTGAGTGGTCTTTATTAGGCTTTGGTAGTGGAAACAAATAACTATGGAGCCATTCCTCTTGTATCTGGCCACTCTGGATGCTGATATTGAATTCCTTTGCCACGCTTTTCAAATCAGCATTCGACATCATCAGCATGTCATTGTATCGGATGCCGTCAGGACCTGGAGCAGTGCTGCGCGATTTCTTGAGGCAAGTTCTTAAGGTGTCTGCAGTGATTGTGAAATCAGTGCCTAGCTCAGTGTTCTCGCACAGCATCGACAGTTTCATCTTAACCCCTATTCTTGCAGCTTCGTCTTTTTGGTCAGTTTGCTCCAAGTAGCGCGCAAGGAGGGTTTTTTCCTTTATCAGCATCAGTTCTCTGCCATATCAGGTCTGTACCCTGAAAATCAGGGATACCCCTTGGTCGTGCGGCGCTGTGCATGCTCCGTTGAAGGCGCCAGAATGTCACAAGAGATCCCTCGGAGCAAACGCTCTTGCAGAATTCGTTCCATTTCGCTGTCTTGGCTTCTTTCGCAATTAACTTGAAAGCCACTGTCCGCTTGTTGACCTCATCTTTCAGACTGATCAGGCGTTCAGAAAGTGACGGATCAATTTTCCTTGCCTTTTGCCATGCCTTGACAGCGTTCCTTTTTTCTAGCCACGCTATGTTGACTACTTCATTCCACCATGGTGGCTGGGCCCATCTCTCCCGCCGTCTGCGATCTGCTCTTGTATTACGTCGTCTGATTTTGCTAATGGCATCTTGCCCTGTACGGTCATATATAAAAGCAGGCACATTGATTACATGACCTTTGTTGTTGCTCTTCTCCACCACGACGACGCACGGAAAGTGATCACTGTCATGGTATCCCAGTGTGCTCCACCTGCATCCTGGTGCAATGGAGGGAGACACTAGGGCCAGGTCAATTACGCTGTCAGAATCCCCTTGTCGGGTTGCCATTCGGGTAACCTTTCCGTCGTTCAAGCATACTAGATCGGCAGACACTAGAGCATCCTCCAGGTCTTCCCCCTGTTTATTGGTGATTACATTGCCCCACTGGTTTCCTCTGGCGTTGAAATCTCCGCAGTAAAGGACTTTCTTTTCCTCAGTCTGGAGCAAACTCTGCCATTTCGCTGTATCCACCTTTCCATTGCAGGCGTACACATTGACAATCACAAACTGGGCCGGGCCCATCACTCTGACTGCGTGTACTTGTAGGTCGTCATTATCCCACTCAGACATGTCCACCTCAGACACCAGTATGTGGTCACGAACAAGAATGAGCTGTCCGAGGTGCCGTCTATTGTAGAAGGATTGGAAGCCCGCAATTTTAACCATCTCGTCACCGAGGTGTGTTTCCTGTAGGACAACAATGTCGTTGCTGTAGAGGAGCTTCTCGAAAATGGGTCGGCGTTGACTGAACGAGGCGCAGTTCCAGTAGAGAACGCGAACATACTTTAAGCTGAGTCTCTCACATTTCAGTCGCTTCCTGCAGGCGCCACCGTGCTTGCCTGTTCGGGTTCGCGTTCTCCTTGTCCGTCTACGGGTTGTTTTGAATTGGTAGATAGTCGCCATCGGACGTTGAATACACCCTGAGGGAAGTCTGAACTCACGTGCATGTACTCCATTGCACGGTTCAGACCCCATTCCGATGAAACTTTCACATTATACGTGAGCGAAAAAAGTTAATTTGCGCCATTCGCCTCAACGGACGAAAAAGCGTGCCGCCATTGTGGCTGTTTACACCGGCGCCTTCTCCATGACAACCAGCAGCATGACGATGGAGGTGATGGCAGTGACGCAAGCGTTTGCCTGGCTTGAAACACAAAAATACACCCGCATATGTATACTCAGTGATTCAATGAGTATGATCCGGAGGGTTCAGGCAGGTTCAGTGCGAAGACAATGGCTTGAATCAATTCAGAAGTCCACTGTGCGAGGAGTCACCTTTATTTTTGTTCCGGGACACGCAGGCGTCGATGGAAATGAAAGAGCTGACAGGTTGGCTGGATCCGCTATCACTACCGACGGTCGGCCTATGGATCATGCTGATATTATCAATGCCCTCAGAGAAATGGGAAGGATAGAGGACTTTGGTGGCAGTGAATCCACATCACTCGCCAGAATGACAGACTTGGGAATTAAGATCGGCACAGCAAAAAACGAGACGCACACCGGACACGTCAGAAGACTTGTTAATCAACATAGAACTGGTACTATTAGCCATCAGACGTTGGGATTCATACTGAGGGGAGGATCTGAGCACCTATGGACATGTCCGGAGTGCAATGATGATAACCCAACTAACTAACTAACTAACTAACTAACTAACTAACTAAGGTTATTGTTGCTGTTGTTATGTCATTGAAGGTTTCCTGAATTCGTGCACCAAAAATATGCCTGCCTTTGTTTATGGTCATATGTTTTCTCTGTCAGAAAAGTGTTTATGCAATCTCAAGTTTTTTGTTGTTGTTTGCTTTGCATTCTTCATTGTTGTTTTATCATCATTGTTGTGGTAAATGTTCTCCTGTCTATGTTACATTAGTCATTCTTGCACACATGCTGTTTTCACAATGTCATGTTTATTTGTTGTTCACAAACCCTTGCATGCCTTGAAATCTGAATGTGCCTATGAAAGTTTTACTTACACTTTTGATGAAGCTGTTGTGATGTGACTTGTTGTGTTCTGTAGTGCTGTTCATTTTGTACTAATATGTGAGTATGAGTATGGAACCAGTGAAGCACAATTGTATGTCATATTTCAGGTGATTGCTGTCTAGTTTTGTGTACTGTTATTTACATTTAAATTGCATGCAGATGGTTAGTTTAGCAAAAAGAGGGTACCTAAATTAATTATTTCATGAACCACACCTCACATTTCATGTACAAATTATTTTCATTTGTTCCTGGATTGTTTTGTAAATTGAAGGTGAAATACAAATTGCATGTACAGCTCATTGAAAACTGCATTTTGTACCTCAGCCTGAAAACCCTTTCTGTAGACGCCGACAGTGATGTACATGCATTAATGGTGCTGTTTCTTCTAAGCAGTACCTGCTGAGATTTCTGATGCTCAAGCATAGAGGTTGCTTTGTTAAAAATATGTCATGTTGTACAGTCTCAGTGGAACATATGATGTAGTTGACTCCAGCCTGATCTTCTGGATTCTTTAGTCGTGGAGTGATATTTGTTCTGATCCTGGAGGATCATGAGGCCACAGTGTTTTTCATAGTTAAAATAGATCACCCACATATATTTAAATAGAAAAAAAAAAAAAAACAACTTCAAAGTGTGTTTATGTGATATGGTTTCCATTGTATGGAAGAAAATAAATTATGAGCATTTACAACTTAAGCTTCTTAGTATTGTAGCATTGTTTGTAGATTTGTTTTACCATTTGTGTTTTTAATGCTTGTATTAATTTAAGCAGAGTTAGCTTTATAATTAGTCTACGTGCACTGATACGAGATGCTGTCCATTGGTTCCCAGACTGCTCATATAGTGCACAAACTAGAAAACATGAATATTTGAAAAGAGATAAATGAAAGGTATCCTCATACAGTTTGTGAAGGTTTGTGGTGCTTTTTTTTTTTAAAAGCTATGTTTGTGTTACTAGTTACAGACTGTTGACTGCTGTACAGAGGCTGTCATTAATCTAGTCACACCCAATTGTTTGCTGTCATTAGAGAATGTATAGTGTGAAAATCATATCCTGTTTAAGTGTGGAATGTTTCCTTTATGTCTTGACATCTCAAATTGTCTTCTTATAAGCCCAATAGAGTCTTATGACAGTATGCTCAATCTTAGTTGGTGGCAAAAGCTTAATAAGTTTTGAACATTTGCCCCCTATTTGTGGGTGGGTTTTGAGGCTACATTTGTGTGTGGGGGAGGGGGGGGGGGGGACGACGAGTGTTATATTTAAATAAAATTCTCTTAGGGCATTTATATGTCAGTTTGATCCATTTCTTGACTCAGATTTCATGGCAGGAACAGTCAGTTTTATTGTCCTCATTTGTTGCAAACAACCTTGGTGTCAAGATCCAGGTAATTCTACACATTGTTGATCTCTTGTGAGATACCTGCCTTAGCTGTTCTGATTCATTCTCAGTGAATCTCTGTGTATGCAACATAGGGTGTTTTTTTCCAACTCAGGCTAAAATAGTGCCATTGTCCTCTCTAAGGTTAGACAAAGCAGGTGCAGTCTGTCTCTTGAATTTTGGCTGTAGAAGTTCTCTAGAATGCATTTTCTCTCAACCTGGTTGTTGAATAGGCTCTGAAATTGCTGTTTATCTGTATCATTGATGGTGTCCACCACTTGTATTGCTGTCTGACTTTTGCTTGCTTTGGCTTTTCTCTCCAGTGTGGTTTGTTGTGGTTTGTATTAAAAAAAAACAGCATTGTGTCTTTTAGTATGGCTTAAATATTTCTTGCCCGTTTGATTTTCTTTCTGCAGCTCTCTTTTCATGTCCAGTCTCCCTAATGCCTCTGTATTTGAATCCCCAAGGTTAGCTGTTGTCGGAGATAGTACGTAACTTGTAATGACACACAGTCTGTGCTCTGTTGGACAGCAGCTCGTGTCATTTGTTTCACAACTTCCAAAATAGAATTATTTTTCAAACTTTTAACTTTAACAAGTAGCTCTAACCAGCTCCAGTTATTTGCTTATGCACTTATCATTTAATTCTTGTTGTGTCAGTTGCCTTAACATATGTTTATGTTTGCCAGGGAGAGCTAGAGAACCAGCTTTTGCAGGCTAACCCAATCCTGGAGGCATTTGGTAATGCCAAGACCATCAAAAATGACAACTCTTCTCGATTTGTGAGTACAGGATTCCAATTTTAACTGATTCAGTTATTTACTTTCAATAATTACAGTGTTATTGTTGTCTGTAGTTTACAACTTCTGTTAGAAGTCTGAATAATTGTGTCCTTTTAAAATGTTTTTGTTGAAAACCATCTTAATTTAGCTTAAGGTTGACATTACTTTCCTATCCATGTTTATATTATTTTAAAATGTTAAAGACACTAATGGTTGAACTTAAGGTAGATTTTTTTATTCAGTTTTAACTCGATGTAGACTTTCATTGAAACTAGTCAAAATTAGTTGAAATGTAAGTAAAAAAATGTTAAAGTAGTATGTGCACCTTGATTGAAATCAGTCGATATAAAAGAAAATGTAGAAAGCTGTTTAATGCATCCAGTTATGTTATTATTGTTTCTGTAAAGCTGATCTAATGATGCACTTTGTGATGTTCCTTGCAGGGTAAATTCATTCGCATCAACTTTGACTCGTCTGGCTACATATCTGGAGCAAACATTGAGACCTGTATCCTTTCCTTACAACATAGTGATAGCTTTAACATTTTCTGCAATTTTAGACCAACTATATCTCCTGTGGGAGACCTGAGTTTTATCCTGGTTAGGGATGCAGATTTCTTCTGTTGGCAGAAATATAGATCCTCACGTGCACAGTTTGTGGCACCAGCACTAGCCATGCAACCTCTTATCCTCAGGCTCATGATCTCTCTAAAAGTGGTAAATATAGCAAAGACAGCTATGACTAAAAAGCTCAGGGGCGACAAGCTGTGACTAGAAAAGCACAAGAAATCGGTTTCTTTTCCTGACCAATGTATCTTTCTGTTTGAGCTCTGTGTACCACTGGTTAAGCTGTGGATACCAGAAGTGTTTTCATGTAAAGGTGGCTCTGTCAAGTGTTGATGGCAGTGGTTGTTTATCACAACTGCTATGTGTGTACATGTAACTATACTATTTGGTATTTTTTATAAATCATTTTCTCTACAAAGCAACTGTTCCCATGCTGAACAGTAACTTCAAGTAGATACTGTAATTGAGACTCTGAAATTGTCTTTAACATGTATAAAAAAAAAACACGAATTGTGTATCCTTTACAGGACGTTGCAGAAACGATCACATTTTTGTGTGTGGTTGTTTATGATTTTACTGAGTAAATTTTACATTCAGCAATTTGCCATTGCTTTCTGAATGGTCAGCTGTCTATACCACTTTTTAAAACAACACAAGACGGTCTGCTGCCAAATCACCCCACGGCTGGGATCAAACTGGGCACCACAAAATTACAAACTGTATTTGCAAAGCCTAAACCACATAGGCATACACCAAGAAAATAACAGGACAGAATCCTGCCACTTCTTGGGATTGAATTCGGACCGCAGTCTAAGCACACAATCACACCAGTGACCATGCCAGAGCAGCTCTGCCTCATTTAAGCACATGGCTTAGCGCATCTCTCATTGTGTCTTTGTTCAGCAGTTTTGTGTTCATTGATCGCCACTGGTTTGATTCTTAACTAATACAAAGACTTGCTGGAAAAATCCAGAGCAGTTCGACAAGCAGAAAATGAAAGGGCCTTCCATATTTTCTACCAGTTCTTGCATGGAGCAAATGCTAAACAAAGACGTATGTATTTGTAATAACATAATTTGTTTTACATATTTTTTTTAAAGAGAAGAATGTACAAGGATGCTTGAATGAGCTGATAAGACGCCTGCTTTAGAAAAATATATTGAGAGACTGTTCTGCTTATTTTTAAGAGTTCATGCTGAAGGAGCCAAAATGTTTTGAGAGGTATTCACATATATATGTATATTCAGACAACTTGAAAATCATTTTTATGGGAGTCTTCTTCAGTTGTATCATATCATTTTTATATGACAATCTTTATTTATAATCTTTAGTTTTCTGTTTAATATTATGTTGTCAAAGTGACAGTGTTTTACTTTTAAAAACGGCAACGAATTGTCCTATTTTGCTAGAGTGTTAGTTAACCCCTACCCACCACCTTTTTTTATTTGCACGTGGATAATGCGATAGGTGCTTCAGTTTTATAGATCACACAAAGAGAATCACAGTACAATGCTCCAAACACACCTGTAACAGCTTTTATTCATATATGTGTAAATACACACTTAGACATGCACAAATACACACACATTCACAAACAGACAGAGCATGTCAGCATAGATTTGTATTGACACTGCAAAGGAACTAATTTGTGGACAGTAAGAGCAGCAGGAATAAATGGTACTGATATTAACATGTCTTGTTGTTACAGAGGAATTCCTGCTTGAGGACTGGGGCAAGTACTCTTACCTGACATATGGGAAGGTTCTTGTCCCTGGAGTAGATGACTCTGCAGAGTTCAAGAACCTCACTGAGGCCATGGAGATTATGGGCATTACTGCTGATGATCAGTCAGGTATGTTTGATGTTGTCTGTCTGTCTGCCCGTCTGTCTGTACGTCCGCCTGTCTGTCTGTCTGAGTTCTTTCTCAAGTTGCGTTTTGAAACTTATGAGTTAAAGAGATATTGAAATAAAGATTGCGGGAAGATTCTTCTTAGAATATCCTGGAGTACGAGGAGGAAAAATACAGACCCTGTTCATGATATGAACATAGAAGGGGACTGGCTCATATACAGTGTTGTTTCTTGGAAACTGACATGCTTCTACCATATTGAACACCATAATGGTTTTGAGAAAATAGTTTTGGAGTGTGTAGTTCCCAGAAGTAGAGGCAGGGGTTGATCACCATGATGGTGGACGCAGGTTATGGAAGAAATCCTGGGCGTGAAAGGTCACAAAGTGGGGAAATTGGCAAGGAATATTGGCTTTCCATCATACCATGTTGAGAAAATAATTTGTTTTGTGTTTCCTATGGCTAGTTGCGTATCCTTTACAGGATGTTGCAGAACCAACAACTGGTTTTTCTAGGCAAATTTACATCCAGTAGGTTGCCATATTTCCTTTAAGCTACCTGAATATATACCATACATCTGTGGCAAGACTCATGAACACAAGAATATGATTATTTGTGTCCAACAGAAAATATATTTATAAAAGAAAATTTGAAGCATTCTTTGTCTCCTTGAGTCCCTTAACTGATTTGAATTCTACATTCATCTATACAGTTTTTTTGAAGCATCCATACTAGAATGTTTAGTCTCCTTTTTACTACAATATTGTAAGTGCTTAATTAACTTCTACATTAATGTGATGTGTTGTGTCCAGAATAGAAGTAAAAAGATTCAGGAATTCATAACTTAAGAAAAAAAAAAAAAAAAAACCCACGCGCACACACACACACACACGCGCGCGCGCGCGCAAGCAAACGCATTTAGTGTAAGTTTGTGACACATGGACAGCTATATGTCATTAGTCTTAGTTGAGGTTTCAGCTTCACTACAATTGAGTTTCCCCATACTTGCTCCGTTCCTCACTGCCCTATTTTAAAAACCTAAACAAACAGCTAGTCCCAGAACAATCCAGAAATATGTGCACGCAGTAAATGCATATGGTGCCAAACCCAACAGCCGCCACCAGAAATTCAGATTTTCTTTCATAGAAATAGTTGGGCTTGATAGGTTGGCTATACACGCGTAGAATTATTACATAAGGTATTTCACCAGCCCTTACCTAAACCGGCCATATTGAATACTACGACACAACCGCTGCCCAAATTAAAGGCATTTTACATGAAAAACACAGTATTAGTATTATATGTCATTAATGTTTTGTTGTTTTTGCCTTTTAGCTATACTGCGAACTGTCTCTGCTGTTCTCCTGTTGGGCAACATGCAGTTCAAGCAGGAGAGGAATGCTGATCAAGCTGTTCTGCCAGATGATACAGGTAACAATATAGCAGTTTGTCATTACAGGTCACCTGAGAAATGTGCGGGTGGGGGGTTAACTGACAATTTTCACAATTTGCTCCGTGGACAGGAGGCTCCCATGTATATGGCCACTATTTTTTCGTTAAGCTTAAAATTAAGAAATTAATATTGAAACACATTCAGTGTATAAGATGACCTCCAGTTTTAAACTTCAAAAATTCAGGGAAATATATTAGGTAGTTTTTGCTGTGGAGCTACGTTTACCTTTAAAGAAAAATAAATGTTTATTAAAGTGGTAACAGGTTTTCTGATTGTGTTAGTTGGGAAGATGTCTATAACTATTCTCTTTCTCTTTTCGAAATTTCTACTAGATGATTGTATTCACCACTTTGTTAAGCCGGAGAATTTAGTGCTGCATGGCAGGATTCTTGCTAGTCTGTGCAATTTAGGATTTTACTTTTGCCCTGACAGACAAAATCCACAGCCTTACAAAGAATTCTTATGAAAGCCCAGCATTCTTCACTGTTTGGCCAGCTGCTCCTTTTCTTGTATGCGCTCAAGTGTGTACCCTTACTGTGACAATCAAATATATTAGCATAGTGTTCCTTAACCAATGTCTGCAAGTGCCATTGTTTGATAATTAGTGCTTCAGATGTTTTTTATGGTTAGATCAGATTTGGTATCCGAAGAAGTTGTCTCCTTGCCTCTATCAGTCCTCCCCCCACCCTCCGCGGAGCAAATGCCTCACACCTAGTTGTCCTGTCCTTTGCCATTGCACATGTTACTCATTTTAACTTCACTCTGAAATTCACCTTTCCATGTTTTTTGTTATTGTTGTCGTCTGCCTTTATTTCTGTGCCCCTGTGGGTTCCGGTGTAGACTTTCGTTATATTTATCTCTTATCACTAATTTTCTTTCTTAAAATATAACTGTTATGATAGCTGAATACCAAGTACTGATGCTTTGATCAAGGTACCCCTATAATACCGATCATCATCCCTTTATGCTATTTATGTATCACATGGGACCTACTCCATTATTCTGTTTATCGTGTGCAATCTTTTCTCTATCATGGATGGAATCTATTTCAGCACCTTGGCCTCTCCTGACAACATTATTACCCACTGTACTTCTTCAGCGGTTGGTGCCGTTGGAGCTCATTGCACTAGACATCATCTGCCTCCATTTATCTCTGTGATTGGATTTCTCTTTCCAGTTAGTGGCTCCAAGAGTTTATAGGTCTGCCTGTATATTATCTCCATGTTGTCTTGGTCTGTCTCAGTTTGGGCTCAGTCAACTCTTTTGTATACACAGTGTTTGCCTCTCTGGCATCTGCCATTCTCTCACTATGCCCCAACCATCACAGTCTGTTAGCCCTCATGATGCTAAAATTTATTGGTGATTCAATTGGATTCTAAATTTCATTGTTGCTTCTCTCTCCATTTCCTGCTCTTTTTTTTTAATCATTGAATGATCCATAGTTTTAGTTTAAAATATTTCAGCATTAGGTTTTCATCTAATTGATTTCCACTGTTATTTGAACGGGCTTTTAATTATAACTGTAATTATCCTCAGTGGCCCAGAAGGTGTGCCACTTAATGGGGGTCCCTGTCACTGCATTGACCCAGGCATTCCTTAAGCCAAAGATCAAGGTCGGCAGAGACTATGTAACCAAGGCTCAGACTAAAGCTCAGGTAGGTGTGCAAGGGTTGTTGTTGATGTTAAAGAGAACAGACTTAACAAAAATAATGTTCCAAATCAAAATATTGTACGCTTTAGTGACTGTTGGGAGGGGGGGTATTTATTACGAGAGATCTTTATAACAATTTTTATAGACTTTTCTATTATGTTGTGTTACTCTGTTTTGGAGAACACACTGCCCCTCCCCCCACCCTAACATGCATATCATAGAAGGCGACCAGTTACAGTTGTATTCTTCAAAGTCGGAGTGCATCTGCCTGAGAAATAAGGAACCAAGTCCGCTTATAAATAAGCCAGATCTGTAAAATGAATGTGCACGTAAAACTCAAGTTCTGGATCAAAATTAAAGTCAAGGAGTGGAGAAACAACCAGAACTTTTCCGCATACTTTACACGCTTGAACACTAAGAAGAAAAAGATCATTGTCTGCCTGTCTGTTTCTCCCTCCCTTACTTCCACAAAATACTCATTCCATGCCCAGTCTATTGATCAAGGGAGGAGGAGAAGGATTTATGTGGGGATAGAAGTCACCGAGTGTGGGATTTTTAAAATGTCTTTTAAAACCATTGTGTCCTGTAACCACAATTAAAATTGACTACGGTGTAGGCAGTGCTGTCCCTGGGAATATTACGTGGTGAGACCTCGGTGCCTTCTATTGTGCTAGTTGCACTACCGTTAGCAAATGGAAACCTTTTTCCCCCCGTTATGAAAATAGAACTTTTGAGTAGTCATGTCTGTCTACAATCTTGTGTCTCGTGTACCTTCAGTCAACTCTGACACAGATGATCCTGCATGCTATGATTTCAAACTGTCCAGCATGTTTTCTGTTCAGTCTCCATCTGCCTCTTCTCCACTCCAGCTTTCCTACTGTCATGATGTACTCCAGTTTTCTCCTATTCATCACATGACCAAAGAATGTAGGTCTCTTTCTGATCCTTAGAGCTCAAGGATCAAAAAATTGTTAAACTCAGTCATTAACCACAGAGCCACATGTGTGGAACTAGGCTATGCAAGCAGCTTAAATTAATTGGATATTGATGATTCTACAGGTGGAGTTTGCCGTTGAAGCCATTTCGAAAGCTCTGTATGAGCGGATGTTCAAATGGATAGTCATGCGCATCAACAAGTCTCTGGATCGCACCAAGAGACAGGGTGCAAGCTTCATTGGTATTCTGGATATTGCCGGCTTTGAGATCTTTAAGGTAGAACTTCACATACTTTTTTAAATTTCATTTTTCTGTGCTTTGTGTATGCGTATTTTGTGTGTGTTTAGTGGAAAAAAGTACAGTAATAGCTTTGTTTTCTAGTACCTTCAACTTTAGGGTTAGTTGCAATGGAATCAGGCAGTATCTTCCTCAGATTACATTTTGCAAGTATTTTTTCTTCTTATAGATTTCCCCCCTAATTTTTTAAAAGATTGTTATTCTTTTATACCAGCAGTCATGTGTATTACTTTTATGTGAAGTTAATATACATTAAGGAATACCTTTTTTTTTTCTAGAACCTTAAACAATTGGGTGCGCTACAGCTGAATCTAGTAATATTGTCCTAAATAGTTAAATATGTAAATAGTGTGATTTTAGATTTCTAAAACAGTACATAGCTCTTTGGGGGGTTGAGTGATCTTGAGGCATGGCGTCCACCTCAAGTCCTGGGTTCAGCTCCCGTTGAAGGCTGGGATTTTTTCAGACTTCTAGTAATTTCCCCTGGTCTCTGGGTAGTAAAGTCGGATGCCGGTGTGTATTGTTAGTGCACATACAAAAATAAATCCCTTGGTAGTTGGAAATTTAAAAGAGTAGCCTAACAGCTCTGCCCTAGGACAAATTTGGAGTTGAAAAATCTACCCACAGAATTTCAGGAACCTCGCCAGTGCTACAGAGTTCGTGCGCTGCGTTTAGGATCTTTGGATTCAGGTTTGAGTTAAAAGTAGAACGGAGCACTTATGGGTTATTACCTTTGTGCCATGATGTTGATCTCTTGTATAAAACAAAACAAATACATAGCATTTTTTAAAAGATTTGATTCAATAATATCTACTGTCTCATCCTAAATAGTTAGCTTGTAATAGGGCATTCAGTGTGTAGAGCTTTCATAGGCCATACTTTGCACACACTACATGGTCATTAAATTAAATTCTATTCTATTTTATTTTATAGTAATGAATAACAAAGTTGTTACTGTATATGGGTTGATTTGTGTGTCTGTGTTTTCTAAAATGTTTAAATGTAAATTGTGTATAATTGTGCAAATAACTTTGTTATAAGCCATTCTCAGTACTGAAAAACATACTTTTCTTATAACCTCAGCCGTAGTTTTGCTCGTAAATAACCTTTGCTCATACGTGAGTCAGGACCTTCCACTGACATTGAGTCATAATCTTTGCTCGTAACTCATTTTAGTTACAATTCAAACATCTTTTCAGAAAATAATTGGTTATGCACCTAACTTGAGGTTGAATTTTTCTAAAATGGTCTTCCTTTTACTTTCCCTTTTACTTCTGGTTCAGACAAAGGAGAAGGTAAATCACTGGGTGTGTCACTTGTTGACATTTCCTTTGAAATGCACATTCCTTTCTCTGAACTTGCAAGAGTGTTGTGTCACACTGTGAGCATGGAGAATGTGCAATGTTGTGCAAGATTTCCAGGTTAGTAGTAGGAGGCTGGCCATAAGTCTTTAGCTTGACTATGAATCAATCATAGGAGAAATTGGAAAGCTAGGCACATTCAAAGCTACTCATATTGGAAACTAAGATAGGGGAAGTATGCTTTTGTTTTTCATGTGGGTTGTCGAGCAACTGCTGTGCACGGTAAAGCATACCCTATAAACTGAAACTGCTGCTTCAATGATTTGTCAGAAAATATAAAATCAGAGGCTATGGTTATGATAAGATTCCTGATTAAAATAAACAGAGATGGAACCAGAATTTCAGAATTTCTTTCCTTCATATGCCTGGTTTAGACAAGTTTGTTTAAACATGGCTGCATGGGTGTTGCTACCAACACTCGGGAGACTGCCTTCAAAGTACAATAATGGAACTACAGCAGTGAGTCATGAAATTTATCAAGATAGAAAAATAATTGCAGAGATAGTTAGTGCAGTCATACTGAGAGAAAGAAAACAGATAATACAATTGTACACAGTGGACATGAGAAAAGTATGTGCCCACTGGATTCCACGCCAGATGGCATGTGAACAGAAGCAAACAGCGGCATATTATCAACAGCTGCTTGAAAATCCCAGCCACAAAATATTTTGACAATTATTTTGACTGTAAATGAGACTTCAGTCCATCTATATCCCCAGTCTAACATTTGCATTGGTTAACCCAGTTCCGTCAAACATTTGTCAAAGCTAAGAGCAGAAACATCTGTAGTTAGTTATACTGTTATTTGGAATAGCAAAAATGTTCTGTTGAAAGATTACCTATCCTGATTATCGGACATTTTTCTGGCACATTTTCATAGCATAATTCTTTTCAGCACTACTGTAAGAGACACTTCAAGTAATAGCAAGAAAGGAACATTATATCAAATCTGTATTCTGTTACATTTCCTTTATGGTTAGAGTTTACTTGTAATAAATGATATTTTACATTTTCTGGAACCTTGATCTATATAATTAAAATTAAAACTGGTACTTTGGCTGATGAAAATTTAAAGCTTGTCTCACCAATCCTGCTGATCTGAGCAGATTGGATGTTCATGTAACCAGCATTAAAAGTTGCCCACTTTCATGCTGTGTTGGGTTAGTCTGCAGATTCTGAACATATCACGCCTCCATGATATATTTTTACCTGTCATTGGGAAGATAGTGTGATAGTCCTTCCAATGTTCATATAGGTGGTTTGTGTCTTGAACCTTTCACAGCAAGTTCATTTATCAGGACAAGGGATTACTCTGTTTCTGCTCAGGTTCACAGTTGTCCACATATTCCACAGTCTATAGTCACCAGACTTCTATTATCTGTTCTGTACCAACAGAGGGTTTCCTTTCAGATTAATAATGCAGAATGCCCTGAAGATGTAGGAGCTGTGGTTATGAGAGAGCAGATAAACTGGCTAATAGAGTACCTTCAGTGGGCAGCTTTAAAGAGGGCGAAAAAAAAAACACTTTAATCTTGCAAGCTGTTAAGGAAAGATTTCTTGCAATCATATGGTTAGTTGACATAATGCAGACTGAAGGAACATAGTCTGGGACTACGACTACATGTTGGTTGCATGGATGTCTTAGAAGATGTGTATCCAGCCAGAGAAAAACATGAGTACTTGGCAAATGGGGAGAGGAACATTTTACCTAGGCCCTAGTACTATTACATTGATTTGGTTAACCAGTGAGCTACTTTAAGGTGACACCGTAATAGAATTTTCTACACTGTCCAGTGTTTAAAGCAGGGCTGCTCACACATTTCTCACCTCTTCCACCCCAACCCTAAACTATTTTGACAGATGATGTTTGACCAGATATGCACACTGACTTTGTCCACACAGATGCACACACACACTTTTACGTGACTCCAATTTTGAGAAGCTCTGCTTATGGATTGTTAATGAAAAAGTGATGCATATAAAGGCTAAACTAGAAACTGTCCCTTTGTCACAGAGAATTCAAATAAGCACTCCAGCTTTCCAAAAATCACAAAATCTTTTGTATCTTTTGATATTATTTGTTGCACCTTTTTTTTTTTTAATGTGACTTTTTGCTTAAGTAAACAGTATTTTTTTTTCTTGTGTAGCTTTTCCCGCTCTTCAATAATAACTGTATTCTAGCAAGAAGATCCACACACCTTCACATTATAATACTTGACATTATAATACTTCACATTTAAATATGTTTCACTTAAAGCAGAGAGGCATAACTAAATTGCACCAGGTTTTAACCCATGGCTCAATGTCTCTCTTTGCGGAACGGCTTGCTGCTTGCTGAGATCATCACTTATAACACAAACTCTATAGCTCCAGCAGCAGTCCCCATGTTTCTCTACCAGAATTGCCATTGCACCAAATGTAGACCAAAGTAACTGAAATGAACGCATGAGATACAGCATAAGGATTAAGGCACACATCTTAGCCACAGGGAAACCCAAAATGTATCTTAATTGTGGGGTTTTCTCAGAACACCATTAGACTGCAGAAAACAATATTAGTTATAGGAATAATTTCACTCCATTTTTAAACTCCTAAATAAAGCCTAGGGATGGTACCAAAAGATGGAAGGCGGTGAGGAAATGTAATTGAGAATTTTTAAATTTCAAGTTGTTTTTGTTTGTTTTAAAAGTTTAGCGTTATCATTCCAAATTGAGAAGAAAAAAAAAGCTTTTGTGTTCGGTTGTTTCTTTCTCACTTGAGAAACTTTGTTGTGTGTGTTTTGAGTCAGGTACTTGACCAGTCATGTTAGATTGGTTTGCTTTGGGCGCCTGCTTTAGAATATTTTAACAACTAGATCTGTTGTTTCATGTTTGTCTGTCATGTTCGGCAGCTAGTTTCAGTCAGTTTTCTTCAGGGACTTCAAAGGCAGTTACAAATTTGTGTGTGTGTGTTTGTTGCATATTCTTTAGAGCAAGTGATTCTCAGCCTTACTAATGCAGCGATCCTTTAAAACAGTTCCTCATGTTGTATTGACCCCCAACCTTAAAATTATTTTTGTTGCTACTTGATAACTTCAGTGAATTTGTGTTGATGAACTAGGCGACCTCTGTGAAATTTTCACCCCCCCCCCCCCATATGGGTAGGTTCAGAACGTCTGCTTTAGAGGATGTCAGCGGCCAGTTCCAGCATTTGTTGGCTGTGTGTGGTTTTAGTATGAAACTTTACACTCAGCAATGTTCCATTGCTTACTGAACAGTCACTACTGATATCATTGTCGAAATAATGCAAAACAGTCTGTTGCTATATTGCTTGCAGCTCAATCAAGTATGGTATGTTAAGAGTATAAAACTATGTTTATAACCACTAAAACCACAGGGCAAAGGTTGTATAACTTATGGTATTTCTGCAGTATGCTGTCACACATTTCCATGCATTTCAAGACCAAATTGTTTGCACAATTTCATCATTTACATAAAGGCTTTTTTTGTAATAATAATATATGCTGTTTAGTGTATAAATGGTAGCATATATGGAAAGATATAAAACCGAATGAAAGTAGATTAGCAAGCTTCACAATATCACACACACAAATAAAACGTGACTCACTCGGTAGCATATTGGCTTGGTATTTCATTTAGGGTGGATAAGACAAATACAAGTTTTGTTTCTGATAGCCTGATAAACCAACCAATAGGACATGACCTATAACTTCCACATCACAGCAAAGCATTTGCTGGGCCCCAGAGGCATGTTGTTGACTAAGGGGAAAAAAGCCTCCCATGTGCCACAGGTACAGTCAACACAAGCTGTGATTAAACACAAAAGATGTGGTGGTCATGTTGAAACTACCATGATAAAACTCAGCTAGAAGGGTTCATAGTTTTACTTCAGTTTATTGCCTGCTGGCTTGAAGATGTTGCGCTTTGAATCCCCAGTGAGATAGATTTCTTTCAAAATTGACTGTGGCTCCCAGACTGACCCAATCTAAAGTAGGTGCCAGCCTGGCTCTCTAGCGTAGTTGGCTAAACCGGATTGCTCGGTGACTGGGTGATGAACTCCTTGTGGTCCAGGTTCACTCCCGGGGCTAGGCAGAAAAGCCACATTTTTCCCAGATTGACGGTATTTACAATGGAATCAAGGCCGAAAGGTTGCAATATCCATAATACCGAGCACAAGGGTTAACAACTCATGGCTTCTGGAAACTTTAAAAAAAAAGGTGCCAGGAAAATGTCTTCGAGGTGGTCGATATTTACCATGGCCCCTACAGAGTGCTGATTTGTCTAAAAAGTATTAGTCTAGCATCTTGTTACAGATCATAGGTGTAAAAGGAACCTTTCCCTTTTTGGTTTTTAGACACATGTAAATATTTAACATAAACTTATAATTTATCTGTTTTCATATATCCATTAAATTTTCACATTTTCATAAAATTTTCATAAATCCATTATATTTGTTACGTAAATTATTTTCTGAAAATTTAAGGTAAAGGTAACCAGCCCAATAGCAAAAACTGTCCCCTGAGATGTTTTGGAAATTGTCTCGCACTTACTCATCTGAAGATGGCTCAACCGCAAGGCTTAGACATGCCCCCCCCCCCCCTCCCACCCCGCACAAATCACCTACAAAGCTGCCATTCTCTCTGATTTCCAGCAGCTGAAAGTGCAGTATTTTTTCTTTGTTTCCTTGATATTTGAAAAGAGAGAAAAAAGCCAAAACCATGCTAAATGCAGTTTATTACATACTACTAATGGAGTTTAAAATGCTAGCTAGAGGAACGAGAGCTGTGTGACATTCTTTAACTTTTATAGATAGATTGGTAATAATGCCCCTTCACAATATGCTAGAGCTAGATATATCACATTGTGCTTAGCAGAGTGGCAGAAAATAGATAATTAGAGGGAAAAGATAAGTTTAATATCTTGTTGCTGATGTCATTTCCCCAATATTTAAAAGTGCAGATACACACTAAATTTTGTGGGGTCTGTATTTGTAGAAATAATTTGTGACCTAATTTTCAAAACATTTTTAAACAAATAAAAAGATTTGTTTAACCATTGGTTTATTTAATACATTTTATTTTAAAGATATGCTCCAGAAACCAATGCCAATTCCAGTTGTCCAAGAAAAATTCCAAATTTGATCCTCTTTCAGCCGCCCGGAGGCCTGCTATATCGAAGAAGGGTCCTTAGCTGTCTTATATGGTTTCCTTTTATTTGTGGTGTGTAGTCACACCTGATATTATGGCTGTTTGCTTCCTTGCTGTGCTGTTGTGGTTTTGGGTTCTGGTGTGATCCAGATCTCTTTGCGATGATATTGACGGGTACTAGCTGACTGTTGCTGGTGCTTGGCTTGCCTCGTGCTGGTCGCTGTGCTGGTGCCCTGTTGCTGCTTGGTTGCCGATCTGTAAGCCGCCGGAAAAAGCCAAACAAACATCCGTTGCGCCGTGATGAACAATGTTTCTTTTCAGGACAAACAGGGCCGTCACAATCTGTTGTTGTGATCGGCCCGGGTTTTTTTTTTTTCACGGAGTGTGGAGAAGTAGTGGAGGTAAGATAGACTGCAAATGAGAGATCAGTTTGCCCGAATGTGCCAGTAGATGTGATAGTTAGGTCGGGAGAATGAGAGTGACAGATAGATTGAGAGATGTGGCTTCTCGTCGCTGGAACTTCTCGTGGGTTGAGATCCAGTGTCCTGAAATAAATGATTGGGGGGGGGGGGGGGGGTGGCTTAAGAGAGTCTGGAGTTACCGAGTGCTGGTCCCCTTTGGTGCAATGTCTTCAGCGGTCTGCTTCAGAACGTCGGGTGGCCTTTGGTGGTTTCCGTTGTCAACTTCTGCCTGAAAGAATGTTAAAGTTTTTGTAATCACTTAGGCCTTCACGCTGGTACTCGGCCTTAGGGCAGGGTCTGAAATAGGACTGAAAGGCATTGTTATAGATACATTTAGGGTGGCGTAAGTTAGACAGGAATTCCCTGGTGCTGGTCCCCTTTGGTGCAATGCCCTTGGCTAGCTGCTTCAGAGCGTCGGGTGGCCTTTAGTGGGTTCCGCTGTCTACTTCCACCTGAAAATATACTAATTTAAGATTTGTGTTACAACTTTGGCATTTACGATGTTATTCGCCAGCGGACAGGTAGAGGCAGTGGTAGTAGCATAGGTGTAGAGTGCTGGAATGCTTCAGAGGACATAAAGCGAGGTCGGGAGAGTGAGAGGAAGGATAGTCTGTCCTGGCAGGTGCCGCTGGTACTCGCAGAATCTGATCCGGTCCCATCGGGTTGCTCCAGAAACATTTGATGCTCCAGAAACATTTGATGTCATATGATATCATTCAATCAAGAAAGCAGGATTTGCTGGTTGTGACAACTTGAAACAATAATAATAAGGAACAAATTTTTGGACTGGAACATCCTGGCATAATGACTGTGTTGAGAAATTTAAAATAGTGATATCTTGTTATGAATTTGAATTACAAAGACAAATAATAAATGGTAAAAATGTTTGCCATGCATGTTTTATGGTATCTATACAAATACTTGACGAATACTTTAGGAGAAAAGAGAGTCAAACGGGGAAGAGAACAGTAGGTCATATTCGGAGTGGATAGACAAATAAATACAGTTTTTTTCTTAAAGTCTGATACAGTCTCTTCTTCCTCCTCCTCCTTTTCTTTTTCTTCTTCTTTTCCCCTACTCTTCTTCTCCTTCTCCTCCTCCTCTTCTTCTTCTCCTACTGTTCCTCCTCTACTTCTTCTTCTCCTCCTCCTCCTTTTCTTCTTCTTCTTCTCCTCCTCCTTGATCATCTTGATCACCGGATGTAACCTCCAGTGGAAATTTCTGTTTGTTCACTTCTGGACTTTGGTCTTGTGCCAGAACTTTGAGTTCTGCACGCACAACTGGTTTACAGATCTGGCCAGTTTGTATGCAGGCTCTTGGTTCCTTGCCTCTCAGGCAGATGCATTCCAACTTTGAAGGAAAAACCCTAATTAGTCGCCTCGAATGACATTCTTCTTAAGGGGCAGTGGGTCCCTCTAGAACTCACACTGCGAGTCTGATTCAAACCAATAGAATATGGCTTATGCCTTCTAAAGCCGCCTTCTAAATCACCGGAAAGCATTTGCTGGACTACAGGCATTTTGTTGACAAAGAAAATGATTCCTGTGTGTTGGACCACAGATACAGTCAACATACACAGAGACTAAACAAAAATATGTGTGGTGTCATGTCAAAACTATACTGCAGTAAAATTTGTGTTGAAACATATCACTTAGTGTATGTAACTCAGCTAGAAGTGTTCATAGTTTTGCTTCTATTTATTTTGCTGTTATTATATTATATGCATAAATGGTATACAGCAGGATACTGAAAATTGTGGCATAGAAGTCAGCCTCAATATTTTCAGAGCAAAATTCCGAGTTTGGCTTAAACATATTTTGTGCCCACTTTGTAAGTCAATTCCTGGTTTTGGAATTTTTTTTTTGGAAACCCTTGAAAGCCCTACTTTGCCACAGTTTACAGTATGCAGGGCAGCAAATTGTGGAATCCTATTTTTATACCGTTATTATTCAAGCTAAGAAATAAATTTAAATGCTTGACATATGCGATTTAACAGATAAGAATGTTATTATGGTTCATCTTAGTCTTCAAACAGAGAGCTGTCTGCAAATACACACTATAACAGTAACTACGACCAGTTTGAATAATGGTGGCACCTCTTGATCATTGTTTTGTGTATTTCAGATGAACTCCTTTGAGCAGCTGTGCATTAACTACACAAATGAGAAGCTGCAGCAGCTGTTCAACCACACCATGTTCATCTTGGAGCAGGAGGAGTACCAGAGAGAAGGCATTGAGTGGAAGTTCATTGACTTTGGACTGGACTTACAGCCTACCATTGACTTGCTGGAGAAGGTAACATGCAGCTAAAAGCCTTGTTTAGTACCGGTGAACTGTAAAGGTGAATCAGTCATGTTGGGTGTAGCAGAAACATGGAGAATCATTCAAACAGTTTTTATTTTAAAAGCTTTGTTTAGTACCGGTGAACTGTAAAGGTGAATCAGTCATGTTGGGTCTAGCAGAAACATGGAGAATCACTCAAACAGTTTTTAACATGAAGAATAACTAAAACAGTTTTTATTTTAAAAGCTTTGTTTAGTACCGGTTAACTGTAATGGTGAATCAGTCATGTTGGGTGTCGCAGAAACATGGAGAATCATTCAAACAGTTTTTAACATGGAGAATAACTAAAACAGTTTTTATTTTAAAAGCTTTGTTTAGTACCGGTTAACTGAAATGGTGAATCAGTCATGTTAGGTGTCGCAGAAACATGGAGAATCATTCAAACAGTTTTTATTTTAAAAGCTTTGTTTAGTACCGGTTAACTGTAATGGTGAATCAGTCATGTTGGGTGTCGCAGAAACATGGAGAATCATTCAAACAGTTTTTAACATGGAGAATAACTAAAACAGTTTTTATTTTAAAAGCTTTGTTTAGTATCGGTTAACTGAAATGGTGAATCAGTCATGTTAGGTGTCGCAGAAACATGGAGAATAACTAAAACAGTTTTTATTTTAAAAGCTTTGTTTAGTACCGGTTAACTGTAAAGGTGAATCAGTCATGTTGGGTGTCGCAGAAACATGGAGAATAACTAAAACAGTTTTTATTTTAAAAGCTTTGTTTAGTACCGGTTAACTGTAAAGGTGAATCAGTAATGTTGGGTGTAGCAGAAACATGGAGAATAATTAAAACAGTTTTTATTTTAAAAGCTTTGTTTCTCCCCTTCCTCCTCCTTCTTGTTTTTCTTCTTGTTCTTGTTGTTCTTGTTCTTGTTCTTGTTCTTTTTCTTCTGCCTCTTCGTTGTCGTCGTCATCAGCTTCTTCTTCTTTTTCTTCTTCTTCTTTTTTCTTCCTTTTTCTTTTTCATTCTTCTTCTTCGTCTTTCTTTTCTTCTTCTTTTGCTTTCTTTCCCCCAGTGGAGCTTAGGCCTTCAGCCAACTTGCACAATGTCGTTCTACCCTTCGCTATTGCATGCAGCTCACCTCATTTCCACCCAAATGTTTAACTTGACTCACTTGCTTCCTTCTCCATGTGTTTTTTGTTCTGCCTTTAATTTTGTGCCGTTTTGGGTGGTGCAAAGACATTCTAGTTATATTGTTATCAGACCTTCTTACCATGTGTCCTATTTGTCAGCATCTTTTCTCTATCTCTTCGTTCACTGGAGCTTGTTTAGTTCTCTTAAGCTTTTATTTAGCACTAGTTAACTGCAATGGTAAATCAGTAATTCTGCATGTAGCAGAATCATGGAAAATAAGTTAAACAGTTACTATTAAGAACAAGTATCATTGACTGGTGCCTGCACAAAATACAAAGAAGTAAATGTTGGATGGAATCGCTGATGTGGAGTTTTGGAGAGAGAGAAAAAACTAAATAAATCACAATGAATTAAGAAGTGAGGAAAGGATGATGGTGTTGGAATAGAACATGCATTGAGAAAGCTTGATAAAAATATAACTAAAATGTCCTTACACAAGAACTCACTGATTATATCTAGCAGCCTGTCTTTAGTATTCAGTAGGGAGAGTGCACAGTGGGTCAGTGTCAGACTTGCAATGGAAATAGGATGGATAAAAATCCTGTCGAGACAGATGAACATTGTAAACTGATTAGAGAGATTTGACTGTTAGTGTTTTTTGGACACATTTTGAGAAGTAATGGACTCGTATCAAGCTTGATGGAAAAGCTGCAAGGGGATGGCAAAGAGATATATACCATGATTGCTTGCTTGGCCATATGCATGGGGCGAGACAAGAGCAGTGACCTGATTTGGGATTCTGGTAATTGTTTGAGATGGTGAAACATGATAACCTTTGGGTTACATGAGGATGATGGTGTGTGTAATTTTTTTAAAGGTAGGATTATCTCTGTAGAGGTAATATGACACGTGTTGTGGCCTAGTATCAGTGATAGTCTCATGCTTGAATGGTAAAATTGTTTATGGCACTACCTTTATTTCTTAAAGTTGCATCTGTTCCTTGTAAAAGATAATTCGGTGCAGACATGTGTGAACTATTGGTTCTTTCAACATTAAAAAAAAATAATCATGGCCAAACACGGTGTGGTGACCAGCTCTGTGCCACACTCCTTCCCCCCCCCCCCCCCCCCCGTCCCAGATTTCAAGAAACATCTTTACAATGTAAGAGCGATGGAGATTGGGAGCAGTTTTGTTTCGGATTGAACAGTTTCCTGGTTATCTATTTGAAGTGTTCCCTCTATGTCTCTTCATTTCTAGCCCATGGGCATACTGGCTCTGCTGGATGAAGAGTGTTTGTTTCCAAAAGCCACTGACAAAACTTTTGTGGAAAAACTGATTGCACAGCATTCAGGGCATCCCAAGTTTGAGAAGCCAGATTTCAGGGCAGATGCAGACTTTAGCCTGATTCACTATGCAGACAAGGTAAGAAAGCACTACATGGTATATACATGCAACTGCACACACACACACACGCACGCACTCATCCTTCTTTGCCTACCTCAAGGACTACTGTTATTCAGTTTTTTTTTTTAAATTTGCTCAGTTTTTTCTGTTTTCTGCAGTTATTTCTGTATACTCTTAACTCTTTTAATGCCAAGAAATGCATCATACATTCATAGGTTTATACCTAGAAGCCAAGAGAATGCAAGATGATGCCAATTCTACGTCTTTACTACCCCCTGGGCCTCGGATGCTAAACCCCCTAGGACTAAGAGAGTTAACTATTGCAGTCTGATGAATTCTCTTCATTCCTGGTAGGACTGTTCTCAAAAGTTGCACATGCTTTTGGACAAAGACAGAAAGAAGATAGGGAATTCCCTATGTACATCCATCATGGCACTCTAGTGTACAGGCTGTTACCAGACAGAAGCAGGTGATGTCACAGGATATGACATCACCACAAGGATGAGCTGGCAAATGTAGAGAATGGCCCAGTTTTGTGGTCAGAAGTGAAGGCGTAAACAACAGGGAGATGTGAGAGTCAAGGCAACGGTACCACTCAACTTGAGTTGTTGGGCTGGGTTGCTGATGAGTGGGGCAGGTAAACATCAAGGGTTGGTTTAGCTATGGGGGTGGACTTGTCAACACTAGCAGCATGCAGCTTCCGAAAAAGTGGAGGACGCCAGGAATATATGCACTCTATGGGCATAGTGGCCATGTGTATCAATGCTCTGCCAGTTATCAGCATGCTGGAGTTGGAGGAGGTGAGTTCGCTTCTCAAAGCTCAGTCTAAAATTATTGAGGCCCCGGTTTGGTGGATAGGTAGTCAATAATTTATGGGTTACCTTGTTTTTAAATTTTGGTTTGCTGATATTGCTGCAGTCTTTCTTTCCCTTGCTTTACTCCTTTTTTTGTAATATATCGTTGTTCACATCTCCATCTCCCCATGTCTGTGTATTTATATGCACACCTCTCTTTTTGTTATTATTTCACTCACTTCATCTGTATTCATGTCTCAAGTGTGTATGTACATTTGCATACATTTCTCTTCTTTCTCACTCCCTCCAGGTGTAAATTTACCTTTCAGGTCTCTATTTTCTTCCATTTGTGTTTACATCTCTTTCCCCTCTCTGTCCCCCTTTCCTAATAGTCATACACCCTTGCCTAGCTCACATCAGGCACTCTTTCTGTTAAATTTCTTCTGCAGCTGCTATATCATAACAGTTTAATTATCATTGTATGCTTTAAAATGTTCCTCAGTTTCTTTTATCCTTATACTGGTTACATTATATTTTGTAAATAGTTTGGGTTGGACTGTTATGGCTTTGTTACCAAAGAGAGCCATTGGTATGTCCAGGATCCAGGCTACATGCAGAGGTGGCTGACCAGACCATTCTGGGCCTGTACACCATTTGTTGTGTGGAGGTACCAGTTGTCACTCACACACACATAATTGAAACTGCTCAAAGCTGTATTAACTGATAACATGAAAGTTAGTCCTTTACAGGAAGTTGCAGAACCAACTCCAGCATTTTTGAGCTGTTGTGGTTTTTCTGGGCAAATGTTATATTAAATAGTTTGCCATTGCTTCTGAAAAGTCAGCTCTTGGTACCATTGTTGAAACCACCATGAGACAAACCATTTGCAGCTACGAACGAATCCGGCACCGCAACATTACGAAGTGCGTTTGCAATGCCTAAGCCACAGACCCCGAAGTTATCATGAAATCAGAGTTAAAGACTGCTGTTATGTTCTGAGTTTGGGATGGTTCATGTATGAAAATGTCAGACATGCAACTGTGTCCTGTTTTTTTCTTCTTTTCCAGGTGGACTATTCAGCTGATCAGTGGCTGATGAAGAACATGGATCCCCTCAACGAGAATGTGGTTTCCATCCTCTCTCAGTCAACTGATCCCTTCCTTGTCAACATGTGGAAAGATGGTATGACTTACTTGTGTGATGCAGCAGTCCCTTAAATAAAGTTGTCTGTGTGTTTGAACATCTTCACTGCATCATGAAAGATCTCCTGATTTCTTTTCTACCATAGCATAGATGATTCTTGTCTGTGGCAACCTTTAATACTGGTCTTCACTGCTTGGTCAACTCTGCCCACTGAAAGTAAGTAAAGATCCCTTTTCAGGCATCGGGCAAATGGGAAGAGCATCCATTATTTTTACAGACTAACCGGCACTAGGTGGGTAATGTGGTCAGCATTACCCCGGCTATCTTTACTTCCCAAGGACAACCACCCTGGTACCCATTTTAGGCTGGGTTGACCAGCGACGCCTCATATCATGATAAAACTCATGCAGCCAGCAGTGGGTTTTGATGGCAGTACGTTGGAATTACCAGTCGGACTCAGCCTAAACTACGGGCGCAGTGCTGCCCGCTGAAAGGGGTATAAAAATGTGTCTAAGTTAAAGTGGCAGGTGGTGATGCTAACAGCATCACATTCAAATGGCTAGTGAAATATAAACCTAGCATCAAATCCCTTGTATGCCATTCAAATGGGAGACTTTTAAATTTACACATGGGTACCACAACATTTTCAGAATGTTCTATGACATGTCTGCAAGGGAAAGACAACGAGAAGTAATACTGGACCCCCGATTTCTTAGGTCACGGTTTTGAATATGTAAACGCCTGAAGACATTTCACACTCCAATAGCATTATCTGTTATGTAGTTACTAAACAGTAGCCTTATAGTTGGAGTTAAAACAGTAGCCTTATAGTTGGAGTTAAAACAGTAGCCTTATAGTTGGAGTTAAAACAGTAGCCTTATAGTTGGAGTTAAAACAGTAGTAGCCTTATAGTTGGAGTTAAAACAGTAGCCTTATAGTTGGAGTTAAAACAGTAGCCTTATAGTTGGAGTTAAAACAGTAGCCTTATAGTTGGAGTTAAAACAGTTGCCTTATAGTTGGAGTTAAAACAGTAGCCTTATAGTTGGAGTTAAAACAGTAGCCTTATAGTTGGAGTTAAAACAGTAGCCTTATAGTTGGAGTTAAAACAGTAGCCTTATAGTTGGAGTTAAAACAGTTGCCTTATAGTTGGAGTTAAAACAGTAGCCTTATAGTTGGAGTTAAAAACAGTAGCCTTATAGTTGGAGTTAAAACAGTAGCCTTATAGTTGGAGTTAAAACAGTAGCCTTATAGTTGGAGTTAAAACAGTAGCCTTATAGTTGGAGTTAAAACAGTAGCCTTTTAGTTGGAGTTAAACAGTAGCCTTATAGTTGGAGTTAAAACAGTAGCCTTATAGTTGGAGTTAAAACAGTAGCCTTATAGTTGGAGTTAAAACAGTTGCCTTATAGTTGGAGTTAAAACAGTTGCCTTATAGTTGGAGTTAAAACAGTAGCCTTATAGTTGGAGTTAAAAACAGTAGCCTTATAGTTGGAGTTAAAAACAGTAGCCTTATAGTTGGAGTTAAAACAGTAGCCTTATAGTTGGAGTTAAAACAGTAGCCTTATAGTTGGAGTTAAAACAGTAGCCTTATAGTTGGAGTTAAAACAGTAGCCTTATAGTTGGAGTTAAAACAGTAGCCTTATAGTTGGAGTTAAAACAGTAGCCTTATAGTTGGAGTTAAAACAGTAGCCTTATAGTTGGAGTTAAAACAGTAGCCTTATAGTTGGAGTTAAAACAGTAGCCTTATAGTTGGAGTTAAAACAGTTGCCTTATAGTTGGAGTTAAAACAGTAGCCTTATAGTTGGAGTTAAAACAGTTGCCTTATAGTTGGAGTTAAAACAGTTGCCTTATAGTTGGAGTTAAAACAGTTGCCTTATAGTTGGAGTTAAAACAGTAGCCTTATAGTTGGAGTTAAAACAGTAGCCTTATAGTTGGAGTTAAAACAGTAGCCTTATAGTTGGAGTTAAAACAGTAGCCTTATAGTTGGAGTTAAAACAGTAGCCTTATAGTTGGAGTTAAAACAGTAGCCTTATAGTTGGAGTTAAAACAGTAGCCTTATAGTTGGAGTTAAAACAGTAGCCTTATAGTTGGAGTTAAAACAGTAGCCTTATAGTTGGAGTTAAAACAGTTGCCTTATAGTTGGAGTTAAAACAGTTGCCTTATAGTTGGAGTTAAAACAGTTGCCTTATAGTTGGAGTTAAAACAGTTGCCTTATAGTTGGAGTTAAAACAGTAGCCTTATAGTTGGAGTTAAAACAGTTGCCCTATAGTTGGAGTTAAAAACAGTAGCCTTATAGTTGGAGTTAAAACAGTAGCCTTATAGTTGGAGTTAAAAACAGTAGCCTTATAGTTGGAGTTAAAACAGTAGCCTTATAGTTGGAGTTAAAACAGTTGCCTTATAGTTGGAGTTAAAACAGTTGCCTTATAGGAGTTAAAACAGTTGCCTTATAGTTGGAGTTAAAACAGTAGCCTTATAGTTGGAGTTAAAACAGTTGCCTTATAGTTGGAGTTAAAACAGTTGCCTTATAGTTGGAGTTAAAACAGTAGCCTTATAGTTGGAGTTAAAACAGTAGCCTTATAGTTGGAGTTAAAACAGTAGCCTTATAGTTGGAGTTAAAACAGTAGCCTTATAGTTGGAGTTAAAACAGTAGCCTTATAGTTGGAGTTAAAACAGTAGCCTTATAGTTGGAGTTAAAACAGTAGCCTTATAGTTGGAGTTAAAACAGTAGCCTTATAGTTGGAGTTAAAACAGTAGCCTTATAATTGGAGTTAAAACAGTAGCCTTATAGTTGGAGTTAAAACAGTAGCCTTATAGTTGGAGTTAAAACAGTAGCCTTATAGTTGGAGTTAAAACAGTAGCCTTATAGTTGGAGTTAAAACAGTAGCCTTATAATTGGAGTTAAAACAGTAGCCTTATAGTTGGAGTTAAAACAGTAGCCTTATAGTTGGAGTTAAAACAGTAGCCTTATAGTTGGAGTTAATACAGTAGCCTTATAGTTGGAGTTAAAACAGTAGCCTTATAGTTGAAGTTAAAACAGTAGCCTTATAGTTGGAGTTAAAACAGTAGCCTTATAGTTGGAGTTAAAACAGTAGCCTTATAGTTGGAGTTAAAACAGTAGCCTTATAGTTGGAGTTAAAACAGTAGCCTTATAGTTGGAGTTAAAACAGTAGCCTTAAAGTTGGAGTTAAAACAGTAGCCTTATAGTTGGAGTTAAAAGTGGTTGCCATATCATATAGGTGGCCATTGAAAAGTCATTATCTGTGCTTTAGACGTTAGTGTATGTTTTCATAGTTCTCAGTATACCAGAGTTTGATGTCGATGGTGGAATACTTAGAAAAAGACTGTTCTTCTGGCATTCCAGCAGTGCCACAAAAGTAAAAATTGTGCAAGATATTAAGGCCTCAGTGAGCAATGCATCCTAAAAACTACAGTGGATGCACATACCTGCTGAAGAGGCATTGTAAGACAGCACAATATTTAGACAAACAAAAATCAAATGAACAAACAAAAACTGCGTAAAGTTATACTGTATTGTTTATCCTGTTTTTTTTTTAATGTCAACAACACTATCAAGTAAACAAGTTGTTTTAAAAAAGTTTAGTAATATTTTAATGAAAAATACTTGCTGTCTTTCTGCAGCTGAAATTGTGGGCATGGGAGCTGTGGCAGCTGCAGAGACTGCTTTCGGATCCCGCACCCGTAAGGGTATGTTCCGAACTGTCAGCCAGCTGTACAAAGAGCAGCTAGGCAAGCTGATGGCCACATTGAGAAACACCAACCCGAATTTCGTCAGGTGCATCATACCCAATCATGAGAAGAAGGTCAGTTTATTACAGAAAGTGCCAGAAATAAATAATGTATGAGCTGTGCAACCTTTCAGTTTCAAGTGGTTGAAACTCACCTTTCCAAGTTGATATTCTAACACACGCCAGCGACAGTTGGAGAACCACCAAAGATATTAAATGAAAGTTAAATCTTTTTTTTTTCTTCTTCGCGTTCACCAGCTGTAAACTCTGGCGGAAGGTTCTGGTTGCTCATCCACTACTGAACTGCAGTCCTGCTCCAGAACCTGAGTGTTGCGTGTGCATCAGTTTTACAGATCTCATTCTCTTGAATACAGACTGTTGGTTCCTTGCCTCTCCGGCAGATGCACTCCGACTTCAAAGGAAGCTCCCCAATTAGTCGACTCTTACGACATGCTTTTTGGGAGGCAGTGGGTCTATTCTTGTTTTCCCCACAATGGGGCCCCGGAACCCACAGGGGGGGGGGGGGGGGGGGGGGGGGGGGGGGGGGGGGGGGGGGGGGGGGGGGGGGGGGGTTAAATGCTTTTGATAATAAATGTCTGAGAAAAAAATCATGAACATAAAATGGAATGAATTAAAAAAAGAATGAGAAATACCGGTATCCATTGCAGTCAGACAAAGAAGGTGGAGATATAATGGGCACACTGAGACGAAATAATCAAAAAATTACAAAACAAGTTGTGAAATGGGAACCACAACAGTCTGAGAAAAAGAGGACATCCAAGAAAAACATTAAGAAGAACATTATTACATGCTGGGCTGAACTCCGAAGCAGAAATCAAGAGTTGCATGCAATAGAATGGAATGGAGGAATTGAACACAAGCTTAATCTAAAGACACTCAAAGGATGATGATGATAATTAAGTTAACAGGGATGGAACAGGACCTGTTAACTTGTTATAGTTAAGTATTGGTGATGCCAAAACAGCAGATAACTTTCTTGTTGAAACAGCTTAATAGAGCTGATACTGAAAGATATGTAATTAGGGTTTAGTCTGTTTCTTTATTCTGCCCTGTGCAGTCCTTTTAATACCATGGATAGAATCCAGTCCAACACCATTGGCTTTTTTCACCAGTGTTTGCCTGAGGGTTCCTCTTGGATATCTTTATTTCCTAAATCCAGTTATTTCCACTTTAAAGGCTTGTCTGGCAATTCTCAGGATGTGCCAGATGTTGCCATTTTCTTTCTCTTCATAACAGAAGTTGTACAGATATTTTTGAAAGTTTGTATATACCTTCATTGTATTTAAAATCTAATCGTTGAATGTTAACTTCTCATGCTGAACTCTCATACTGACTCCATACTGTCTATGGTTGTTTATTTAAAAAAAAAAAAGTATCCTTAATATGCTTTTCATAACATTAGGTTCTGGAGATTTTAGCCTCACTATTTACAGGCCCAGTTTTCTGTGGTTGTGAGTAAAGGACCCTTTTCACACCTTTTGACATATCAGGCATGTATATTGCTAGGTCTATAAATTTATTGATCTGTCTGCTGTCGGCTGATGATGAAGTCAGCATAATGATGGTCACTATTACATTACCTGTTGTTCTCCATGTGGGTTCCCTGCCCTGTTTATAGGGAAAACAAAATTAGACCCACTGACTATCTAAAAGTATGTAATAAGAGTCAATTAATTGGATCTTCCTTCCGAGTCAGAGTGTATCTGCCTGAGAGGCCAGGTCCAACAGTCTGCATACAAGTGAGTCAGATCTGTAAAATGGATGCACACACAACACTCAGGCTCTAGACTAGGAATACAGTCCATAAGTGGATGAGCAACCAGAACTTTTCTCTGGAGTTTACAGCTGGTGAATGCGAAGAAGAAGAAGAAGAAGAAGATTAAATGTTACCCAGTTTAGACAGGATCAATCTGGGAGTCACGATCAGTTCTGTGAAAAAAATATGGCCTCTGTGCACACTTGAACCCTAGAACTTCAGGTGGGCAGGTAACTGTCTAGCCCCTATGCTGCCACAGTTACTGGGGTTGTGACATTTGTTAATATAACTCCACAAGAACTAACTACATGCATTTATAGAAAATAAACCTTTCGTTGGAATTTTTCTTTGTTTAATATAACCTGTTAATTTTTAGTGTGTGGCATATTATATTGAAGTAGTCTAGAAAAGTTAAACGAATGAATTGTATATTTTAATGGTATACTGAAATGGAAAACTAATCTTTAACTATTTCAGTACCAGACAACTCACTGTACATGCATTGCTTACATTATAGATGATGTCTGTTTCTGAATTTCCTTTGTTCCATTGTTACAATAATCAAGTTTATCCAGACAGTTAACTGTAGTTTCGGCTGTCTTATGGTTGCACCATTTCATGACCCTAACACTCAGAGATTGAACTGAAAAGTTCACAGAGTTATAAGTCGAGCAAGCTAACACTAGCAATAATTTTTTTTTTTCTTAAATTGACGAACAAGCAGTACAAAATTTAGAAAAATGCTTGTCCTAATGCTGGATGCCCGCGAGCACACACACACACACCCATATATACACTGAAGTATGTTTGATGACAATACGTTGCACGTGTTCCAGGCTAACAAGATTGAGTCAGGCCTGGTGCTGGACCAGCTGAGGTGCAATGGTGTGTTGGAAGGTATCAGGATTTGCCGACAAGGTTTCCCCAACAGGATTCTGTTCCAAGAGTTCCGTCAGCGCTATGAGATTCTCGTGCCCGGGGCCATCCCACGAGGCTTCATGGATGGCAAGAAAGCTGTGGAGAAGATGGTAAATATATTTATTCTTGATCGCTGAGTGTTGTTGTGATTATTTTAACCTACAGTATACTGTTTGTTTATTGACTCATGAACGACAGTTTTTTTTTTTTTGGCACATAAATTTGTTATGTAAGTTGTCTGCACAGAATATGCTATAACAAAATCACTGATGTGGATTTTTGGGAGAAGAATAAAAAAACTATACAATAAATTCCATTGAGTCAAAAGGTAAGGAAAAGTCGCTGGTGATAATATCAGTCACCTGATAATATAACTAGAATGTCTTTGCACTGGAATCCACAGTCACAGGAATAAAGGTAGACAAAAAAAACCACACGGTAAAGATAATTAGAGAATGTGTTTGAAAAGATGAGGAGGACATGTCTATTTAGCATATTTGATACACAAACACAGATGTCTCTGCTTGCCTTAATGCCAATTTTAGGTTGTTCCTGTGTCACTTATTGATTACCTTATTTATAAGGAGTGGAAATCATGTTACAGGGCAAACGTGACTGTTTTCATTGGGTGTTTTCTCCCACAGATTTCTGTACTGGAATTGGATGCCAACCTGTACCGCATTGGGCAGAGTAAGATCTTTTTCCGCGCTGGCGTGCTAGCACATCTTGAGGAGGAACGAGACCTCAAGTTGACAGATATCATTGTGCAGTTTCAGGCATTGGCTAGGGGTCTTCTGGCCAGAAGGTGTGTTAACAGTAGCAGTTGTTCTGTGTCATTTAATATATGTGTATGTGCGCCTGCATCACGTCTGAGGCTTAATGGTGGTAAACACGCTTCTTGATTGCAAGGAGCTGGGTTTTATCCCAGATGCTGGTGATCTGGCAGCAGACCACCTTGCGTTGGTTTTGACAGTGGTGTGTGTGTGTATATGTATCACTGAGTGCTAAGACAGTTAGCATTATGGTTCATTATCTCACACAGTCACCAGTTTTAGATGAAGCAAATATTTTGTATCCTGATTGTACTTAGTGGCTAAGCTGTCTAAGTATCTTTTTGTCTTCCTCTTGCTGCTTCCCCTTGAAATTTACTAAGTTTCATTACATTTTCAAGTTCATTTCTCTTCATAAGATGCCCAACAAAATTTGGACTGTGTTGTGTTTAATTTTTCTCGTCATTGGACAGTTTCCATGTGCTTCATGAAGCAAAACATCCATTTTCTGACCTCCCTTGGTTTTTGGCCTGCTCTACGGAAACTATGTCTGCTGCTGTTGTTTTTTTTTTTTAAATTTGCATTCAACAGCTGTAAATTTTGGCAAAATTGTATATTGTTCATCCACTTCTAGACGTTAGGCTTGTAACAGATCTTGAGATTTACATACTTATCAGGTTTACATTTATGGCTTATTTGAATGCAGACTATTGGTTCCTTGTCGCTCAGTCGCACTCTGATTATGAAGGAGTAGCAATTATTTATCACCTTTTGCAAATTGCTTTATGGGGACGGGGAATAGGTTTAATCCACATCCCCTTAAATCCACACATGGAGTTATCAGGATAATCTCTGCCCATGCTCCACGCAAATGATTAATCTCTTCTGACATCAGCTTTTGCACATGTGGATTGGCACCTAAGACAACAGACCATGTCCTCAAAGACTGTCCCAAATACATATCATGGCGAAACTTTTGGACTAGAGAAACATCGGTGCAAGTCAAACTTTACCAGGTCGCTGGGTGAATTAAAAAAGACAGTGAAGTTCATACTGGAGACAACATTGCAAATATAGGTAATCTATTTCAAGTGAACAAAAAAAAAAATTAGAAGACACCAGCTTTCAGAAAAAATCCTGATAGAGACCATTGTTGGTAATGTTTTAATGACATTTTAAATCAAATCTGAGTACAGTTTTAATTTATAACAAGTTTCCTTTCATATCTTGCCCTGATAGTAAACAGCAGTTTTGTCTCTATTCAGAAACTACCAGAAGCGCCTTCAACAGATCAATGCAATTCGTGTGATCCAGAGAAACTGTGCCGCCTACCTCAAATTGAGAAACTGGCAGTGGTGGAGACTTTTCACTAAGGTAGGTCAATGAAAATCTTGATATGATCTCACATCTTGGATTTTAGAGGTGCCTTGTGGCATTGGGCCTAGTGTACTAGCTTACGAACGCAATGATTTAGGGGTAATTTACTCAGTAGTCCGAGAATAATCGGTACAGTCCCTGCAATTAACAGCCTAAAATTAATGCTCCCATTTTTTTAAATCGTAAGGAAAGTTTAAAAAAAAAAAAAAAAAACAGCATTGGTCAACTAGTGTCATAATGTCAGTGTTTATCATGTCATCTGTACTATCACGAAGGCACAGCAAAAGTTGTCTTTTATCATACTAAACTCAATGTTTAATGTAATTTCTTTGTGTGCCATCCTTAACAACATCAAGTTGTTCACTAGTGGAATGGTGAATTCTGTCTGTGGATTCATCACCTCAGGCAAGCAATAATCTTCATTCTAAGCTTCAAAGCTCACCAAATGGTCTGTGCAATCTGGCGGCACTGTCTGTTACCATCAAGGGGAAACTGTTGTGCTTCTATTTTCTTGCAGGCTAATCTGAGGGCTTAGGTGATGTGAAAAAAACTTCATAATTTCAAATTACCCAGTTCGATTCAGTTGCAGATCATTTGGCAGCAGATTGATTTGCATTCAACAGTGTAATGTAGTACTATCTATTCAGAAAGCAATGTCAAACTACTAAATGTAAAATTCCCAGTGAGATCACAAAATAGCCAACAAATGCTGAAGTTAACTAACTTTTCTGACATCTATCAGTGTGTGGATGGAATTCAGTGGACCCCTATAGAACAGCTTGATGATCTGGCTAAAGCCTATGCTCCACTGGGGGATAAAAGGCAGAATAAGAATTTAATTTCTCATGTGTTCAAATTTTGAAATGTTAACTGAATCAGCAGTTCGTGTTCACCGGCTGTAAATTCTGGCGGAAAGTTCTGGTTGTTTGTCCACCTCTGGTCATTAGTCTTGTTCATAAACCTGAGTGTTACATGCACATCTGTTTTACAGATCCGACTTACTTGTATGCACATTGTTGGCTCTTTGCCTCTCGGGCAGATGCAAGCCGACTCAGAAGGAAGCCCACAATTAGTCGACTCTTATGACACGCGTGTTGGGGAGGCAGTGAATATATTCTTATTTTCCTCACAGTGGGGCCTCGGAACCCATACAGGGATTCATTTGATAATGTAATTACATGTAAAGATTATCAGTAATTGTTAACCAGTCGTAAGTTGTTGTAAATTATGTGTAGGGGTTATTGCTGATTGATCACAATATATTCTAAGTAAATTACATTTTAACACACCCATCATTGATCTAAGCAGTTATTTTGTATGGTGTAATTACCAAGAACAATATTGATTCCACAGGTCAAACCATTGTTGACGGTTGCTGAACACGAGGAGAAACTACATTCAAAAGAGGAGGAGCTGAAGAAGTTGAAAGACAACTATGAAAAACAGAAGCAGGAGACGGAAGAGTTGGAGCGACGGTATGCCCAGATTATTGAGGAGAAGAACATCCTGGCAGAACAACTTCAGGCTGAGACTGAACTGTGCGCTGAGGCAGAGGAGGTTAGTTGTTGGGTTCACTGTTGTCTTGATTCATTTGCTTAATTGAATAAGAATTGTAATGATCTTGCATCAGTGTGTACAAAGAAGCAGCGAAGAGGAAGATATTACAAAATTGTTACTTACAGATAACAAGTATTAATAGCATTAGCAGAAGAAGGTCTCCAGGGAAATCTCAGTCAAATCAATACCAAATGTGAGGATTATCATGTGAAAATGAGCGTCACATAGACAGAGACAGTGGTGATGGGGAAACAACCAAAAACCATATAAATAAAAGTAAAAAGCACAGACATGAACAAGTGAATTTTGTTAATGGGCCAATTTTCACTTAAGATTAAAAAGAATTTGTATAGAGAAATCAGCATACGATGCGCAAAGCTAATAAGAAAGACCAAAAAAAAAAAAAAAAAAAAGCAAGATGGTGCAGCGGCATGAGAACAGCCCTCAAGAAATGACGATCACTTTATCAGTGTATTAGAAAGAGCACGCAGAAGACCCTTACATCTCCCCCAACACTTTGATGAGGTAGAGGAGAAGAAGAAAAGAAGAATGATCTTGTCAGTTTAGGTCCATAATTTACAGTTATCTGCTTATCGAAAAGAAATGGTAACAGTAAAATTGTTTTAGATTTTTACTAAAAATGAGTCTTGTCTGTCTGTCTATCTGTCTCAGTCTCACTTAAATTTAAGTTGTGATAATAAATGTTAATTTTGTTGTATATTTATTAGTCAGTATTGATAAAAAATAATTTGTTGTTTATTAATCACCAAATGCAGGTTTTGCACTATGAATCTCAGAATGGCTTTAATTGACAAGTGTCAGGAATAGTAATTTGAAGTCATATGAACTTCAGCAGACTAGGAAAAATAATAAACATTCAGTTCTTGTGAACTTAGCATATTACCAATATCAGGCTTAATAATTATGTTGAATTGTTACCAACAGAACAGTTATAAATAATGTATATATTATTGTCAGTGCATCGTTCTATGTCTGAGCTGCATGAATTGTTTCAGGCAGTAAGTAATAAATTATAAATGTAATTGCTGTGTATGCTATTATATTAGTCAGTGAAGGTTGGCTTTAATTGTTAAAGATAGAATAGTCATAAATATTGCGTGTAATTGTTGTAAATATATCATTCTTCTAGTCTCGGGCACGCTTGAACAAGCGCAAGGAGGAACTTGAAGACATCCTCCATGAGCTGGAGCTAAGGATTGAAGACGAGGAGGAGAGATATGCCGTTATACAGGAGGAGAAGAAAGCTATGCAGCAACAAATCAAAGATCTTGAAGAACAGTAAGTTCATTTTTCTTGTGGGTTTATTTTGAATTTTAAAACCTGTTCATCTCTACTTTACTCATTTATTTCTTTGTTCATCACACCATATTTTCTGAGATGTGCTGAGTTCATGAGGGCTTCATTATTATAGCTTTCAGCGGGGCTATTTAACTGGTGGCCCATGGAGGCTTAGCAAGTGATCCACGGATCATTGCCAGTTGTATTGTACTAATGATTATTCTGCGCTGGGGCTCAGGCCTCTGACCCATGAAGATTGCAGTTCACAGAATGTTGGCCCTTGTATAAACTTAGTTAAAAAGGTGTGCTGTACACAAAATGTAGATAATAAATGACTGAGAGAAGTCATGAAAGCATTGTTTTCCTTGAGTTTGCTGCTAGACCAAATTCTCATTTGGTAATTATAGAATTTCATCCTGCAGTTTTGTTTCGTGAGGTAGGACTGCAACTGTCTTAAAATATGTCTGTATCTATTTAGTTTTTTTCTTCTGCTGATTCTTGTAATCAAATGGGCAAATACTGATGCTGTCTTGAGGCTGTATTAGTTTGACTTTTACATTTTAAGGAATGATAAGATGAAGTGACATTTCAATTAATCTTCATTGGATCATACACTGAGGACTGATGATAAGAACAAGGTATAGAAAGCTTTATGAAGACATGATGTGAAGATTAACAGAAATCAGTGATTAATATTCAGTTAATGACCTGAGTAACTTGTAGTAATTAGGATGGCACTTGATAATAGTGAGAACTTGATAATGGAGTTACTAGGTCGTTTTACCCTATTTTCCTTGAAGTTTGGTTGCATTCATTCAGTTATCTAAACATTGTCTATTTTTCACATGTGCAGACAAAAATATTCATAAACTTGTGCATGTTCCCTGATGTGTGACATTTGACCTTTGTCAGGCTGGAAGAAGAAGAGCAGACCCGTCAGAAACTGCAGTTGGAGAAGGTGACTGCTGATGGAAAGATCAAAAAGCTAGAGGAAGAGGCAGCTGCTCTGGATGATGCCAACCAGAAGCTCCTCAAAGAGAGGAAGCTGATGGAAGAGAGACTGGCTGAGGCTCAGCTGAACATGGCAGAGGAGGAAGAAAAGTCCAAACAGCTTGGCAAATTAAAGAGCAAATATGAAGCTATTATTGCTGATCTGGAAGAGAGATTGAGAAAAGAACAGCAGGTGAGTCTGTGTTCCAGTGCTCTTATGTCTAATTTCTAGGGTGTTAATACATTTAGGATTTTGTTTGTTCTACAGAAAGTTTGTATTTTTGTAGGAATTAGAGTTCTACATTTTTCCATAATGGATGTTTTTGTAATTTATGCAATGTCTCTTCATTGCTCACCCTGAAAAATACTGTTGGTACATTGTGTTGTGATTTACAGCTAGGCTTGATATCTGTGCTTTTCAGCTCAACACATTTGACATCTGCAAATCCTTAATGAGTCGCCTGTTATGACATGCTTGTTATGGAGCAGCAGGTCTTTTCCCACCCACACACACAAAACACACACAAAATTAGTATTTGGAACCCACATTGGTTCATGGACCTAATGCTTCAGATTTTGAACCTTTAGCTATAGCCTAACTCAAGCCGTTTTGCCAGGATGGCGTTCATCATTTTCTTCTGGTCGATATGGGAGCCACAAGCGTCTGTTAACAGTCATCACGCAGCTTAAACTTACACACATTCAAACAGAAAACAAATCAACACAGAACTGACACAGTTAGCCACTTTGCATTGATGATAGTGGTTAGGTAGATAATGTATGAAGCAAATATAGTAAAAGTAAAGTAAAGGACCCTTTTTTTTCTTGCCTTTCAGGTGTATTGGGTATATAGGGCTAGACCTATATTTTATAGACCAAACAGCACTTGGTGGGTGATGTGAAGCAAATATAGGCTTTTCTCTATTGTAGTTAACTCCCCCTTCCCCCAACCCTTTCAGAAGGAAAAAAAAAAAAAAAAAAAAAAAAACCTGGTAATTGTGGCATGTCTTCTTTTTCTTTTGAGTTCACCCTTAATGAACTGATTGACATGTTGCATTGTGGTTTACATCTAAGCGGGTGATGTCTGAACCTTTTTGGCCCAGCTAGTTCGATTTCAGCAACACCCCCCCCCCCACACACACACACACACACACACACAGGCACACACTGCCATTACTGCCTGTGTTCATCACTTTTGTAGGCTAGGGGTAGGGAGTGTCTGTTAACGTGAAGATTTAAGCCCACATAACAGTGCTGTCGCTACAAACTGTTCAGGTTAGGATTTTATTTTTGCCCCCAGCAGAAGAAAAATCTCTAGCCTTACAGAGGTTTTAAACCCCGTTCAGCCGCATGAGAACCCTGCGCTCTTAACCGTTAGGCCAGCTGCTCCTTCTAACATATATCCTTAATTAATAACCTTTTATGACCTATATGTTAAGGGGCAGGAAAATGACCCCCCCTCCCCCACTCCACCCGCAATGGAACCCCAGGTCCCACACTGGGAATTTAGCATGTGAATGTGATTATATTCACAAGGATTGCATTTTTCACAATTGTGTTATTGTTTAGGCACGACAAGAGCTGGAGAAGATTCGCAGAAGACTGGAAACAGAACTAGCAGATCTGAGGGATCAACTCAATGAAAAGAGACAGCAGGTGGAGGATATACAGGCTCAGCTGGCCAAGCGAGAGGAAGAAGTTCAGGCCGCTCTACAGAAGTAAGTATTTATCAATACAATAATTTTGTTAGGCAGTATATCGCCCAACAGCTGACTTTCTCTTTCTGTTTGTAGATAATTGCTGTTTATAAAAGCCGACCAGATAGCCAAGATCATGTTTAAACAAATCTAGCTTGATGTTGATTCATGCCCAAGACCTTCTACTGAAATGTGTCTGATTATTTGTCTTTTATGTGTATTGATTTAACTGTTGCCACATTTGGAAATATAATATCCTTTACTCTTTTTTGTTTCCTCCTTTTTTAAACTATAGAGCTGATGAAGAACAAGTTGCAAAGACCACTCTGCAGAAACAACTGAGGGAGTTGTCTACTCAGCTTCAAGAGATGCAGGAGGATTTGGATGCAGAAAGAGAAGCTCGTAACAAAGCTGAGAAACAGAAGAGGGACCTCAATGAGGTGAGGAAGCTGCTCACATTGTCTTGATGATTATGTTGTTGATTTAACAGGTTTTGCTGCTCTACCACGGCATGATGAAACTTATGTTTTGGTGGTGGCTTGAACTTGAGAGCAGCTGTCAGATAATTTGGGGGTTATGGTCTCAAGTTCCCTCATTTAAGCAGAATGAGTTAGGAGTTGGATTATCTTCACTCCGGACACATCCATAGGCGCTCAGAGTCCCCTCTCAACATATTCATCAGCGTCGCACGGTTAAATGAGCCGGATAAGACATGTGGTCTAATGATTGTTTTATACATTATCATCTTGATCTTACAGAATTAAGCATTTGATATCAGCAGATGTTGTAGGCCAGAGCCATTCAGCTCCAGTTTACGCAAGGGCCAAAATGATAGGAAATGGGGATCGTTGTGGGCCATAGGCCACCAGCATAGGAAATCATTAATACAATATAATTAGCAAGTGATCTGTGGACCACTTGCTGTGCCTCTGATGGCCAAGTTTGTCCAGTGGGCCTGCCACTTGAATAGATAGCTCAGTTACAGGGCATAGCATGCCTTTTTTCTTGTATACCTTAATACCTTGACATATTATTTACTTTGAAACTGCACATGTTGTTCAGTAATCAATATATTTGTGTCCACAGGAGTGTGAAGCTCTGAGGGCTGAAGTAGAGGACTCCTTGGACACAACAGCAGCTGTGCAGGAACTGAGGACCAAGAGGGAACAAGAAGTAGCAGAACTGAAGAAAGCTGTTGATGAATCTCAAAAGATTCATGAACAGGTGTTGCAGGAGGTGAAGCAGAAGTTTACACAACAAGTGGAGCAATTGACTGATGAGCTAGAAAATGTGAAGAAGGTAACAAGTTCACGATTTACACACTACATGCTTTTTTAACATTTCAACAACAAAAAAAATATTCCTGGTTTTATTTGTATATGCCCTATTTTGTTCTGTGCATGCCTTTTTGTTTGTGTGTGCCTGTTTTGATTTTTATTTTTTTTATTAATGCACGCCTGTTTTTGTTTGTGCCTGCCTATTTTTGTTTGTGCATACCCGTTTTTGTTTGTACATACCCGTTTTTGTTTGTACTTACCAATTTTGTTTATGCACACTTGTTTTCGGTTGTACATACCTATTTTTGTTTGTGCATGCCTGTTTTTGTGTTTCTGCCTACCCATTTTTGTTTGTACACGTCCAACTGTGTGTGTGCTTAACGTTTTTTTTTTTGGGTACCAACCTGTCTTTGTCTCTGCATACTTATTTGTGTTCGCACATGCTTGTATTTGTTTGTGTGTACCCTCTTGTGTAAGTAAATACCAGCGTTTGTACATGCTTGTATTTGTTTGTGTGTACCCTCTTGTGTCAGTAAATACCAGCGTTTGTACATGCCTGTTTATATTTTTTGCATGCATGTTTTTTGTTTTGTATATACGTTTTTATTTGTAAATGGCTATTTTTTACTTGTAATCACCCATTTTTGTGTGTGTTTTAAAATAAACCTTTACCTGGTCAACTGGCCCGCAGCTGGGAATCTAACCCGGCATCCTGAAGCGCGTTTGCAACGACTAAGCCACAGACGTCGATAGTGGGTTTATTATTTTTTTCCCTTAACAAAATATGGGACCTCAGAACCCTCACATGGATAGTGGTGATTTAGTTAATAGCTTTTATCAGTTATCACATCTCACAAGAATTGTTTTATTGTATGTAGAGATTTTGTTAGTGCTCAAGTTTGACACTAGCATTGCATACTTGCAACTTTTATTATCAATAATCTCTTATCAATCTTCTGTATTTCATTAACTGATTTAATTTTCTTTCAGGTTAAAGCCAATTTAGAGAAAGTAAAAGCAACTGTAGAAGCTGAGAACACTGACCTTGCAAATGACCTCAAGAGTGTCCAGATGGCCAAACAGGAGTCTGAGCGTAAGCGCAAGCAAATTGAAACCCAGTTTGCAGAACTGAGTGTCAAGTTTGCCGAGTTAGAGCGTTCATCTGGAGACAGTGGAGAGCGGGCCAAGAAACTGCAGGTTGGTTTCTTTTTAGCACATTTGATAAGAGTTGAAAGGTCAAAGGAACTAGTTCTAGATGAGTGTTGCAAATTATTAATTGTTTGTGAACACATTTGATGAAAGTTAAAATAGGAAGTTGTACTACTTCTAGATAAGTGTTGCAAGATTTTAAATGTTTGTGAAAAACAGCTGATTAAAGTTAAAAGAGTAAGGTATACCAGTTCAAGATAAGTGTTGTAAGCTATAAAATGTTTGAGAAAACAGCTGATTAAAGATAAAGTAAGATAAGCTTTTGTAGATAAATGTTGCAGACTATAAAATGTTTTAAAACATAGTTGATTAAATTTAAGGTGGATTGGTTGTAGGTAAGTGTTGCTAGCCATTAACTGTTGCTGCTGTTGTCACTCCTTAGACTGAACTGGAGCAGGTCACTAACCAGCTGGTGGTAGCAGAGACCAAAGCCCTGCAGGGTGCACAGAAAGTATCCTCTCTGGAGGCTCAGCTGACAGACATACAGGCAAGTATTGATGATTTTGAAATTCTGTTGTCTAAGTAAGCCTTCATCAACCATTTTTACACCTGAGGATTGGAGAAAATAGAAATACTTTGCGGAGTGGCTGGCGGCTTGAACAAAAACAGGCGTGGAGAGAAAATTTATCAAATCATAATTGGTTGGACATTTTTGGCAAAGCATTAGGAAATTTCTTTGGGGCAGTACCAGTCAGTAGACTGCATGTTGAAGATCATGGGTCTAAACAAACCCCTGCCTGTGGATGATAGGAACTCTTCATGTGGGTTCCAGGGACCCATTCCTTCCAAAAAACAGGCGACTAGAGTTGTTTCCTTTGAAGTCAGAATGCCAATGCCTGAAAGACCAGCAACCAGCATTGTGCCTACAAACAAGCCATATCTTTAAAATGGATGTTCCTGCAGTACTCACGTTCTAGAATAAGACCAAGGCCCAGAACCGGAAGAGCAACTTGAACTTTCAGCTGGAGTTCACAGCTGGTGAAGGCACAGAAAAAGAAGTAAAATCTAAACTGAATTTTACCATGCTAGATTAAAACAGTGTTAATTTAAAGTTGTGAATCTTGATCTTGGTTTTTGGACAAGCTTGACTAAAAAAAAAAAAAGTTATTTTATGAATTCTTTTATATAGTTCTATCATTGTTCTACCCATGTGGATTAATTTGTGGCCCTGTTGTGGGGAAAACAAGAATAGACCCACTTCCTGCCCAGCATTTGGTAAGAGTCGACTAATTAGGGAGTTGCTTTAAAGCCAGAGTATATGTGCCTGAGAGGCAGGGATCCAAAAGAATGCATGCAAATGATCAGAACTGTGATCCTGTGAAACAGATGTGCACGCAACACACAGGTTCTTTAACAGGACTAGAGTCCAGAAGTGGACGAACAACCAGAACTTTCTGCCGGAGTTTACAGCCGGTAAACGTGAAGAAGAACACATTCCTTAAAAGGGTTTTACTGATGAATGCATATAGTTCCCCGGACAGCCAGAAATAAGTAATCCATGTGTTTTAAGAAACTGAGTCCTGAAGACAACCTATCACAAACATCGGAAAGAGGCAGTAATCTTTTTTTTGGATCACATTATGAAAAGAGAAAAACTTAAATACATACCACACCAAATTGATTGATATGACGAAGGAAAATCTGTGATCTGGAGAATTTTACTTCAGCATGGAAAATATTGTACTTGGTATATGAAACTAGGTTTGTAGAGCTCTCAGAGAATGTAATTTACTAAATGATTGTGTATTTTTACAGGAGGTTGCAGAAACTAACCAGAGCATTTTTTGGCTGTTGTGGTTTTTTTCTAGGCACTTAGTCTACGAAATCTGTTTCTTCTAAGTGATTGATCGTCATGTTTTTCTTCTCCACTTTCTCATTTACCACTTCAGGTGTTGAGAGAGATTTAAGGTTCTGCCTCTCGCTCTTCTAACCGCCTCGAGTATAGCTACATCGTATTGTTGTAGAGTTTCTCTGATGTTATCTTTCCATTTTGTTTTTGGGCTTCCTCATGCCATACATCATGTACTTTGCCAGTAAGCACAGGCAATTATAGTTTGCCATTTGCCGTCTCACATAATATTCATAAATATGGATCAGGTCAGTGTTCTTATCCCAAACATGCATTTTCTTTTCTTTTTATCTTCCCCTGTCTCTTTTCCAGTCATAAAGTTTTTCAGGTTTTCCTTCTGATAACATGTCCAGAAAATCATCATTGCTTATGTTTGATTTACCTTATAATTTTACTGTTTTCAGCTTCTTTTTTCTGTCTCCTAAGGATACATCATCAAAGTCACTTTATTCATGATTTTTCTTGATGTGTGTGAAGGAAGAAGTTGGCATGATTAAATGACACAATTCTCAAACCTGCTTATTTAAAGTGAGCACCATCTCTCTTTAATGCCAGTATTTAGCACTTTTAGGGCAATGTGGAAATGTAGGTCTCGATCCTGAGAATTCAGGGCCTCATTATTAGTGTATTTGCCATGAGCTGTCAGGATTTTTTCCTCGATAGAAAAAAAAGAGCAAGATTTTTCCCTTGGTTTAAAAAAAAAACGGGGGGTCTTACTGAGGATTTGAACCCAGATTTCCTGCATAAGAGACAACATTCTAAATGTTTACAAGCTCACTCCTCTCTAGCAGACTATAAGCACAAAGTTTAAAACAAAGCTGTTTCATTGTTTTTAAATTTCTGTCTCTTGTGTTGCTTTAGTTACACACACAGCTCACAAATGCAAATTTCACATTTGTGGTTGTAAATTGTAACATTTCAGATTATTGAAATCAAGAAGAAAGCCGAAGAAGACCTTGCTAACAATGAAGCCTTGGAGGAGTACAAGAAGAAAACTTCCAGGGATATGGAGCAACTGGTGCATCAGCTTGAAGAAATGAGTGCACAGAATGATAAGCTAGAAAAGTCACGACGCAAACTGCAGGCTGAGGTAAGCTCGGAAAATCTTGTATCACTCGTTTTAGGGGAATAATTTGATTTTGCATTTCACTGTCTGGCTGCAGTTTTTTTTATTTGCTTCATGTTTTGATAAAACATGTTCTCTCTGACTATAGTTATACATACATTTTTGGGTCTGTGTACATGTTTTCTCTTAATGAAGTGAAAGCACTGAGATCTATGCATGATCCCTGAATGAAGTGACATCACTATCTATGCGTGTTACCTGAATGAAGTGACAGCACTAAGATCTATGCGTGTTCCCTGAATGAATGACAGCACTAAGATCTATGCGTGTTCCCTGAATGAAGTAACAGCACTGAGATCTATGCATGTTTCCTGAATGAAGTGATGGCACTGAGGTCTATGCATGATCCCTGAATGAAGTGACGGCACTTAGATCTATGCGTGTTCCCTGAATGAAGTGACGGCACTAAGATCTATGCGTGTTTCCTGAATGAAGTGACGGCACTGAGGTCTATGCATGTTCCCTAATTGAAGTGACAGCACTGAGATCTATGCATGTTCCCTGAATGAAGTCATGGCACTGAGATCTATGCATGTTCCCTAATTGAAGTGACAGCACTGAGATCTATGCATGTTCCCTGAATGAAGTCATGGCACTGAGGTCTATGCATGTTCCCTAATTGAAGTGACAGCACTGAGATCTAGGCATGTTCCCTGAATGAAGTCATGGCACTGAGGTCTATGCATGTTCCCTAATTGAAGTGACAGCACTGAGATCTAGGCATGTTCCCTGAATGAAGTCATGGCACTGAGGTCTATGTGTGTTTCCTGAATGAAGTGACAGCAGTGACATTTCTCTACTTGTTTAAAAAAAAAAAAAAATGAAATGACAGCTTTCTACTTGTTTTCTCTGAATGAAGTCATGGCACTGAGATCTATGTGTGTTTCCTGAATGAAGTCATGGCACTGAGATCTATGTGTGTTTCTTGAATGAAGTGACAGCAGTGACATTTCTCTACATGTTTTAAAAAAAAAAATTTTAAATGACAGCTTTCTACTTGTTTTCTCTGAATGAAGTCATGGCACTGAGATCTATGTGTGTTTCCTGAATGAAGTGACGGCACTAAGATCTATGCGTGTTTCCTGAATGAAGTGGTGGCACTGAGGTCTATGCATGTTCCCTAATTGAAGTGACAGCACTGTGATCTATGCATGTTCCCTGAATGAAGTCATGGCACTGAGATCTATGTGTGTTTCCTGAATGAAGTGACAGCAGTGACATTTCTCTACATGTTAAAAAAAAAAAAAAATGAAATGACAGCTTTCTACTTGTTTTCTCTGAATGAAGTCATAGCAATAAGATCTCCCTACATGTTTTCTCTGAATGAATTAACAGTGTTAAGATCTCTCTGCATGTTTTCTCTGAATGAAGTGACAGCCATAAGATCTCTCTCCATGTTTTCTCCCAATTGAGTAACAGCAAGATCTCTAAATGTTTTCTCTGAATGAAGTGACAGTGAAAAGATCTCTTGGCATTAGTCTTTAAATGTTGGTTCTGACTTCACCATTTCAGTCTGAATTTTTCTCAAGTTGCCTTGGGTCAGCACTGTGTGTGAACGAATGAGTGAGTGTTGAGCAATCCAATTACTTTATGACTTTGACTGACTGGACTGTTCTGTTGGGGGAGTCCAGGTAATGAATGACTTTGACTGTTTGAACATTTCTATTGAGGAGTCCAGTTACTGTACGAATTGTGCTGTTTGGACTGTTCCATTGAGAAGTCTGGTCACTGTATGAATTTTGCTGACTGGACTGTTTCATTGAGAAGTCTGGTCACTGTATGAATTTTGCTGACTGGACTGTTTCATTGAGAAGTCTGGTCACTGTATGCACTTTATTGAATGTTCGTTCATATTGAAGTATTTATTGAGGAGCCCACTTACTGTTGACTTTGTTTTCCATTAAGGAGCCCTATTACTGTGTGACTTTGACTGATCAAACTTTTTGATTGAGGGGCTCTACTACTGTATGACTTTGACTGATTGAAGTTTTCCATTGAAGGGCTGTGTTACTTAATTACTTTGATTAAACTTCCCTGTTGAGGAGCCCAATTACTAATGACATTGGTTTGAACTGTTGTCTTCATAGCTGGATGACTTGACTGTGGAGCTGGAGTCCCAGCGTGCAAACGTGTCAAATGCAGAGAAGAAGCAGCGCAAGTTTGATCAGTTGCTGGCTGAAGAAAAGGCAGTTTCCGAGAGGTTTGTTGTTTGCACTTGACAGTTTTATTGACACTGAGTTATACAGACAGTATTGTCTTCTAGTTTCTTGGAACAAAAAAAGTCTTTATTAAATGGCTTCTTAGAATAAAGTAATTATACTGTTTCTTAGATGACTTGCAGAGTTTTCAGCTTCTGACGTGTTTTCATGAGAGTGCCTTTAAGAAGCAAACATTATTGTGTTTTATTTTTGTTTAATTATTGCCATCTCAGTCGGTAATTGTAAAGTAGAATTTTCTGTAACATTGTGAAGCAGTTCATTATTTAAAAAAAAAAAAAAAAAAAAAAAAAAAAAAAAAAAATTAAATATAGCTTTAAATTCTGTCATTCTGATTGATAATCATGAACAGAAATTGGGTAAAGATTTTCGTAAATGCGGAACTAGAATGTTTAAAAGAATCATTTGTAGAATTGAATGTACTAAAAAAAAAAAACACTGCTATGATCTTCCAGATTGGCAGCAGAACGGGATCAGGTGGAGAAAGAGAGCAGAGATAAAGAGACCAAGTACCTCAACCTACAGAGACAATATGATGAACTCAAGGAGAAGGTGGAACAGCTGGACCGAATCAGAATACAGCAGGCCCGTGAATTGGAAGACCTTGTCTCCAAAGAGGATGATGTTGGCAAAAATGTAGGTTTGACCAGTTTTTGGAAATTATTTAAAAACAAAAACAAAGAAAAAAGACCCCATCTTTAATGATGAAAAACACAATTTGCACTTGTTCTGTATCTGTAATGTACTGACCACTCTATAAGGTTTAAATTCAACAGGACTGACTTTATTTTGGCCAGGTTTTTATGCCCCCTGCCAACTCTCCCCAGAACTGTCATGCACACGAGTGCGTGCACACACACCATGTGAGATTGTCACACAACACAACCGATAAACTCTGTAGCTCCAGCGAAGTTGCCAGTTTATGGGAGGGAAGGGGGAAGAGAGATGCACCCTTGAAACAAATGGCTCAGTTCATGAAACGAAACCCACAACCTTCTGAGCACGATGCAATCAGTAACCACTCAGCTAAGGGGACCATCTGATCACTTATTGTGTTTATGCAGTCTGGAAAACTTCCAGTATTATGAACACAGCTAGCCTAAATGTGGCTGTCAGCATAGAGTCGCAGAACAGTGTGTACTGTCTCATTGTGGAGTGCTCAGAAATGGGAGAGCTTATCAATGGCCGGGAAAAGTGCGTCAAAACAGCTGCCAGTAACAAACTACAAATTAAAAAAAAAAAAAAAAAACAAGATCGGTAAATCGTTTAGAAAACTACTAATACTGGCACACGACGACCACCTTACTATGGACAGATCAGAACAAGTCTAAACACTGTGTCTCAGAACAGAACACAGCTGCATGTGTAAAAAATGTAAGATTGCTCTATCAGTCATGTGTCATCCCCAGGATCACCATTGTAGAGGTGTGAATAGGTCTTAAGATAGTTTGACCCTGGTCTTAGCACACACCTTGTTTTCCTGTGTGGGTTCCAGGGCCCTATTGTAGGGAAAAGAAGAATAGACCCACTGAATACCCAAAAGCGTGTCGTAAGAGTCGACTAATTGGGAGCTTCCTTGAAAGCGCACTTGCCTGAAAGCTAAGGAACTAGCAGCTGCATGCAAATGAGTTATATCTGTAAAACAAATGCACACGCAACACTCAAGTTCTGGAAAGCTCAGAAGTGGACAAACAACCAAAACTTCCCGCCAGAGTTTACAGCCGGAGAACACGAAGAAGAAGAAAAAGAAGAGCACTCCACCACCACTTGTGGTGATGCATTTCTGCATCCCTTATCTACTGTTTGAAGTTAAACTTGCGCAGATGTTTAAATGTCGTTATGTTAAATATTTTGTTTAAATGTGTTGATATGGTACAGATTTAAATAAGTCATTATGTTGAATAAATTTGAAATGTTTAGTTCTGTGATGCATGATGTTGTCAGTCTTCACATTTTAGCAGTAAAGTGTTACGAACAGCAGATTTTACTGTATGTTTTCAAATGTCTTCAGATCCATGACTTGGAAAAGGCCAAGCGATCATTGGAAGCCACTGTAGCGGAGCAGAGGCAGCAGATAGAAGACCTGGAGGATGAACTGCAGGCAGCAGAAGACGCCAAGCTGAGGCTGGAAGTGAACATGCAGGCGCTGAAAGCACAGTATGAAAGAGAACAGGCTGGACGAGAGGACCAAGAGGAGGAGTCCAGAAAGTCTTTGCTCAAACAGGTACAGTACAGTTGATTAAGGAGCTCTCTACAATAAGAAATAGATATATCAGTAAACTCGACATGAATCATTGTCTTCCAAAGCGTACCTTCTTATATGGGCAGTTATGTTTATCTACACTTGTTTATTTGTGTATGTCTGTCTTCTTCATTTTCACTGGCTGCAAATTCTGACAGAAAGTTCTAGTTGTTTGTTGACCTCAGGACTTTGGATTGTTGTTCCTGACCTCCCAGGCAGATGCACTCCGACATCAAAGAAACGTTGATCCTGTCCACGCTGGTCAGGCTTACTGGTAGTAGGAACCTGTTTATAGGATAAGCAAGTAGAGGCATCAATAGTTCTTGACCAGTAGGAGTCCTAGTGCTCAGGCACCACCATCTGTGTGTGGTTCTGCATCTTATGCTGTCTGTCAAAATTGTTTAGTATATTGCCTCCCTGTCACTCTCTGTCTATCCTGCCATTGATTCTACCAGATAAATATATTCTTTTCTGATTATACTAGTTCAGAAAATGTTCTTTTGCATTTCATTCTTCTTATACACTTTCTCTGTTACTGCTTTGAGTGTCAGGAGAAATGTAATCTGGTTCTCACTTGTTTAGTCTTCTCGATCAGACAAGTACTGCTGTTGTGGTGTTTATTCTTGTATTATCTTTCCACTTTATTCTTGGTCTAACTTGGGCTTTGTGCACCGCTCCTCTTGTAATGTATGACATGTATTATGATGTGGCATTGCCAGGCATTCTTTCTAAGTGTTTGATGTTGGTGTGTAATTCAGTGTTGGTTCTGTTACCACCTGTTATCCCATGACCGTATTTATGATTTCATCTTTACAGTCTTGTCACCTTTCTTAGACATCTGTTTGCGTGTGTGTGTGCGTGCGCGAGAGAGAGAGAGAGAGAGAGAGAGAGAGAGAGAGAGAGAGAGAGAGAGAGGGGGGGGGGGGGTAGGGGATGACTTGGTGTTTGATTGCATGTGAAATATTGCAGGAGGCCTTGACTACAGTATGTGGCAGGATACTGTGTGAACTCTGTGAATGTTAAATATTTACTGCATTTTTCATTCGATTCTCAGAAGATTGTCTGTTGTGACCAATTTATTTAGGGGAATACAGCAGTTGTCTTTATTTCCTAATCTTGATAAACCTGCATATTTCACATAGCCTTTCTTTCACTGCTATCTTTTCTTCCAATAATCAGTGTTCTGAGAGAGTTTCTGCCATTCTGTAGTTTTGAATTTTCTCATTTTGTGTGTGTATTAAATACTGGCTGTTATCTGGTTTATTATTTTACATCTAGTGGTTGCCTAAAGGGTGTGGAGGGGGTTATTGACAGCATGCATGATAGAAGACTGGATCCTAAGCTGTGGACCTTCTAAGTATATGAGTGTATATGCATATTTATATTAATTTATGACGTGTTTGTATAATAATTATATGCATGCAAATTCCTAGGCGTGATCATGATTTGCAAGGTAAAATTATTTTTCCAAGTTGCTGCAAAATTAAAACCATATATTGAAACAATCATTCTGGACTATATTTTATTTTGGGTTTAGCTGCGGGAGATGGAATCAGAACTTGAAGATGAGCGCAAGCAGAGGGCATTGGCCGTCAACGCCCGCAACAAGCTGCAGGGTGACCTCACCGGCCTGGAACAACAGGTGGAGATGGCCAACAAAATTAAAGAGGATGCTGTTAAACAGTACAAGAAGGTGGCAGCTCAGCTAAAGGATTACCAGCGAGAGCTGGATGAGGCCCGGTTGGCCAGAGAGGAGATGGCTGCGGCTGCTAAGGAGAATGAGAAGAAGGTTAGTACATATAATGTTTTCAGCAGGGTATGAAGCTTCATCTTAGTCATAACTGTTGGCATAATTAACTCATGTTAGACTGAACAGTGGTCATAGATATCAACATTCAACTTTTGCGGAAACCATTTGGTCAAAAAACTAGATAGTGTCCACATTCTCTCATGATTTTCATTTAACATATTTTCAGATATCCTTAAGGGGGGGGGGAGGCATCTTGTGAATGGTGCTCTGTCTAGTCTACAAATCATATTTAGCTGATATTTAGCTCATATTTACAAAGTAAATAATCCATATACAGAGATATTTAGAAGGCCGAGGTGCTAATTCCACATTTACTGCCGCTTCCACCTGTTGTCCTCACTGCTCAAGGACTTTCCAGCCTCATATTGGACTAACCAGCTACCTTTGTACTCATAATCATTGATCATAACTACATCAATCATGAGGGAGGAACGGCAATAATCCATATTCAGTAGATCCTTGATTATCTGGCCCTCGGTTATCCAGACTCTCTATTATTCGGCGTCTGTTGAAAAAAAAAAAATAGTTTTTAATGATGAAAAAGGGGGAGAGGGCAAAAGGCATGAAGCAATCATCTGTCAACAAATTTCAAAAACTAAAAACTGAGTTTTGATTCTTTCATCTCTGGACGACCTTTTCCAATTTGTATAATTACCTGTCCATTAACATTAAAAAATGTCTATAATTTTTGTAACTAAGCCATTTTACGTTAATATTTTGTTTATTTTAATCATACTGATTAATTATTTTTTTTATAGTTTTTGTTTTTTGCACTTTCTTTTTCCCTAATAAGTGTTTATTAATGTCTTTATAGACTCTGGCATATATAGCTTTTTTGTTATCTGGCATATCCTTCCGCCCCAATAGACGGGATATTGTATTTGCTGCTGTTTTTTTTTTTCTTCATATATAGGAAAGGCCCAAAATATTTTCAACAGCATCCAAACATTACTGATAAATAAAGAGATAAGCTAGTCGTTAAAATGAGAATTGTCATATGCTATGTATTTTCAGCCTTGCTGAATGGTGCAGAAACCTGGAAAGCAAACAGGCAGTTATAAAATCATCTTGCTTCAAAATTATATGGTCTCTCTGGAGATGTGGTAGTACTGAAGATCAGGTTGAATTTCATATGGGGGGAGGAGATCAAAGGCAGAGATTCTTAAGAGACTAGAAATTAAAGAGAGATGAAGAATTTTGGCCATATCAAAAGCTGTACGACTCTTAAATAAAACCATACCGGAGATGAAAGTTGAAAGCAAGTGAGCAAGAGGTAGACACTGATACAAGTGGGAGGACAACATCAAGAAAGAGACAAATGGCAGTCAGAGACAGTGTATATCCAGCGTGAAAGACAGTATGTTGGAGATCATTGCAATCAGCTGTCATTGTGGAGGTAGCACTGTGATTGAATGATTAAGGAAATCAAAGAGGAACAAGCACTGTGGTTGAATGATTAAGGAAATCAAAGAGGGACAGCGACCTGTGAGGTTTCAAGAAAAAAAGGGTAGCTGAACAGTGCAGGCAGGCAAAAAAGACCCGTGTAACAGGCCCTTTACCTACAGTTTTGCCTGCCCTCACTATCCGAGATCTTTCTGGGGCCGTATTGGTCTTGTAAGTCACCTCTGACTGAACTAAACTAGAGTTTCATGATGGATGAAAGAAAGAGTGGTCCTCATCACTTGTGATTGAGGAACCACAACTGTTATAAGAAAAAGCCTGTCAATTACTGCCTTGGGGGGGGGGGGGGGGGGGTATAGCCTTAGGCTTTTGGGCCACATGGCTAGTGCAGGTGAGGATTTATTTTTGCCCCCCCCCCCCCCCCCCAAAAAAAAAAAAAAAAGAAATCCCCAGCCTTACCGAGGATTCGAACCTGGGTCTCCCGCATGAAAGCCCAGCATTCTAACTGTTTGGCCAGCTGCTTCTCCAACAACAACAAGGATATCATATTCTTGTGTGATTTGTTTTTGGTGTTCTCATCATTTAGATCACCCTGTGTCCTAACACATATAGCCATATGCACAATATGTGTGTTGTCCATCAAGATGGTGATAACCACTCTTTTTCATCAAGTATGAGTATGAAGATGGCTGATGCGAGCCCGAAAAGTTCTTGAACGGTAAGGACAGGGAATGAGGGTTGTGCCAGGGAGGGGATCTCCTGCAGTCACCTTTTTGTACATTCTTTTCTTAATCAGTCTTGCTGCTCTGTTTGCTTCACATGTAGCCTCGCCCTTGTGTAGAGTTTGCACGCCATGCATTTTGGTCTTGAGAGGCAGCCTCCCAATTGGTGTCATTCATCCCAAATGCTTGACTTCAAGGTGTCCTTAAAGCACTTTTTTTGCCCGCCTTGGTAACGTTTTTTTTAGAGCCTGTGATCTGGCATAACATGGTAGAATATGGCATTTTCTTTGTGATTGTTATTTTTTTTAAGAAACAAATTATATAACACATGGAAATATGATTGCAGACATGGTACATGTAAACTGATTTGGCGAATATTGCCTATTATTGTTTACTGCAAATGAATTCCCTGGTCTTTATATTTTCTCTGAAATAACCAGGCAAAAAATTTGGAGGCCGAGCTGCTGAGACTACAAGAGGAGCTGGCAGCTGCTGAACGGGCTAAACGAAATGCTGAATCTGAGAGAGATGAGATGGCTGATGAAATTAGCAGCAGTAACAGTGCAAAGTAAGTCTAGAAATGCACTGCTCTGTCATATTTGCATCTTTCCCCGTGTAGGTTCCTCTTCCCATTTGGGCGGAGGGGGGAAATAATAATAAATCTTTTCGCCTTCCCACTCATGGGATGTAAACTCAGATGAAAAGCTTTGGTTATTCATCTCTGAACTCCTGTTCCATTCCAGAACCTGAGTGTTGCATGCACACCCGTTTTACATATATGACTTATTTGTATGCAGATTGTTGGTTCCTTGCCTCACTGGCAGGTGCACTCTAAAGAAAGCCACCACAGCATACTTCCTGGAGACACAGCGGGTCTGTTCTTGTTTTTTCCACATAGTGGAGCCCCTGAACCCACAGAGGGAGAGAGTGACTTAGACACCTTTCTGGGAAGAATCCTTACATGGTCTGCTAGGTAGATGGTCATATTTTGATTCTGTTTACCTGTCACTGTCTCACATGGAATCCTTGGTCACCTCACGGAAACTTTGCCCCAAAAAAATCTCCTTAAGCACGAGGTGGATGATTGATTTAAAGGACTCTGTTTCTGCGAATGGGAAAAAAATAACACTGATTTTTAAATGGTATTGTTACTACGCTAACAGCTTTATATTTGTTCCACAGGCAGGCACTTGTAGATGAGAAACGGCGCTTGGAGGCCCGAATTTCTGAGTTAGAAGACGAGCTTGAAGATGAACACAACAGTGCTGAGTTGAACTCGGATAAGGCACGCAAAGCCCAACTTCAGGTATGTTTTGTTGTTGTTGGTAACTTGTTTTCCTTCATTCATGTCATCACCTATATTTTCCTTAAGACCATTAGTTTCTTTCTTCATTGGCTGTTTCGTTTCGTGTGCATTTTCTTTGGTGGCTTTCATAGTAATTACATACACACATGTGGCAGTTCTTCTTCTTCTTCGCATTTACCAGCTGTAAACTCCAGCGGAAAGTTCTGTTGTTCATCTACTTCTGGACTGCAGTCCTGTTCCAGAACCTGAGTGTTGGGTGTGCATCCGTTTGACAAATCTGACTAATTTGTATACAGAATGTTGGTTCCTTGCCTCTCAGGCATATGCACTACAACTTTGAAGGAAGCTCCCAATTAGTCGACTCTTACTACATGCTTTTGGGTAAGCAGTGGGTCTTTTTTTGTTTTCTCTTTAATAGGACCCCAGAACCCACACAGGGAACATGTGGCAGTAATTAAAGAAACATTTTATTATTATTATTATTTTTTATTTACATCAAACTTTCATCATTACAATATTATTTCATGTGGAAGTAAATACATGAGTAGTTCTACCCTCAGTCTTTCTTTTATTTGTTTTGTGTAAATTCAGTCAGGTATCTTATTTTCCGGTTGTCCATTTATACCATGTGCACTCACTGTTGTGTTTTACAGTGTTACTAGACAACATTTGTTGTAAAACCTGTCATTAGTTTGCTGTATTAACACCTTGTTTTTAATGATTTACAAAAGAAAAGACAAAAATAAGCAAGCTGTATTGTGTTTTAATTCACACTTGCATCTCATCATCACTTTGATATGTTATTAGTTGAATACATCAGATACAGATTTTTACATAATCAACTATGTCTCAACAGCTGGAACAGCTGCAGACAGATCTGGCCTCAGAAAGATCTGTTTCACAGAAGTTGGAGAATCAGCGCTTAACTTTGGAGAGGCAGAACAAGGAAATGAGAGACAAGCTGGCTGAATTAGAGGGACAAAATAGAGCACGCACTAAAGCTACCATTGCAGCCCTGGAAGGCAAAGTTTCTAACCTGGAGGAACAGCTCGACCAAGAAGCAAAGTGAGTTGTTGTTCTTACTTGAGAGAGGCAGAATGTTGAATATTTTATGGTGCAGTAAGTAAAGTAAAGGTCCCTTAATACGCCAGTTGCGCATCAGATATGTGAGGCTAGACCAATCAACCCTTGATGCCTGATAGATTTGTATGCTTTCTTCCCCTCCTGCTATAATTAGTTCAGCTGTTATCTCATCACATTTTGGTTTTAATGCAGTAGTTGAGTAAAAAAATTATTTTAAATCAGATATGAAATTGTTTATTTATCTTATAAATAGTGTATCTGATGTACTAAAACCTAACCACTGTGTGACAGAAGGGTTTAAAATAGCAGCAGGTACAGATTTAATTGGTGCAATGACTGCCTAGGGCATAAGGAGTTAAAGAAATAAAATAGGAAACTGACAAGTGCATGACAAATTGCTTGGGACTGAAAGAGATAAATCTGAATATAATTGATACATCAGCTTCATCAGTGTTACAGAAGGACTTGTTGACTTCTCAAGAGCTGTGCTGTAAATATACTGGGGAAAATGTCCCTTTCCTAGTAGCCTTTATCTGTCCCCAGCTAACTTGAAGGACGACAGACTTCTGCCTGTTAGATTAGTTATAAACATAGAACAAAATGGCTTGGGCACCCTGCCATTTGTTACTGTGTCAACAAAGATCTTGGAGCCATGGTGTTTAAAAGAAAAAACTATCATAGTATAAGATGGGGGAGGGGGGGGGGGGGAGGGGGGAAAGGGATCCTGTTCTGTTAAGTAAGATGGGTGACACAAAACTTTTCTGCTAAATAAGATGGGTGACACAAAACTTCTCTGCTAAATAAGATGGGTGACATAAAACTTCTCTGTTAAGTGGGGGAGCGAGAGATCAAAACCTCTCTTCTTCTTCTTCTTCTTCACTTCCTCTTTTACCGCTGTGGGTGTCGAGGGAAATATAACCTCTCTGCTACAGTAAAATGGGTGACACAAAACTTCTCTGCTTCAGTAAGATAGGACAAAACTATTCTGTTATGGTATTTCCTTTTTCATACTCATTAAAAAAAAATTATTTATCCTTTTCAACTGTCTTTCTATAGAGAGAGGGCGGCTCTGGCTAGAACAAATCGTAAAATGGAGAAAAGGCTGAAAGAGTTGCAGTTGCAGGTGGAAGATGAAACGACGCAGTGCTGACCAGTACAAGGACCAGGTTGTTGATTTCTTTCTGCTCTGCTCCATGCAAAAGAGAGGTCTGATGTCTGTCAAAAATGCAATAGCTGTGAAGTATGGAAACTTCATGCTCCATGATGTCATGATGTTTCTAGTCAAGATGTGTCTGTAAAGTAGAAAACTTTCTGCTTCCATGTATCATGATAGTTTGTCAAGATGTGTCTGTAATGTAAAGTCTGTAGAAAACTTTCTGCTCCATGCATCCATGATGTTGTCAATATGTGTCTGTGAAAAGTAGGGAAACTTTTGCAGCTCCATGTGATCATGATGTCTGTCAATATGTGTCATTGTCTGTGAAGTAGAAAACTTTCTGCACGCATGCATCATGAGGGTCTGTCAATATGTGTCTGTGGAAGTAGGAAACTTTCTGCTCCAGCATCATGAGGTCTGTCATATGT